GGAGGAGGCCTCTCAATGGGTGGGTGATGGGGAAGCCACGCCCACAAGGAAGGAAGAAAAAAACTAAAGTTGCCTGCTCTAAGGGCTGCACCTCTGTTTAGCCAACAATTTTCTTGAGGCCAGTCATAGTGCTAGGCTCATTCCATCATCTCCAGTTCTGAGATCAACACTGTCTGGCAGGTATTTTATGGATGAGGAAACCAAAGCTCATAAAATTAAGTGGTTTGTTTACACAGTAATGCAAGAAAGTGACAGTACTGGGAGGTGGAACCAGTTTTTTTCTTTTTTTTTTTTTTTTGAAGGAGTTTCACTCTTGTCACCCAGGCTGGAGTGTAATGGAGCAACCTCAGCTCACTGTGACCTCTGACTCCCGGTTTCAAGCGATTCTCCTGCCTCCGCCTCCAGGACAGCTGGGATTACAGGTGCCCGCCACCCGGCCTGGCTAATGTTTTGTATTTTTAGTAGAGATGGGGTTTCACCATGTTGGCCAGGCTGGTCTCCAACTCCTGACCTCAGGTGATCCACCTGCCTCGGCCTCCCAAAGTGGTGGAATTACAGACGTGAGTCACCCCGGCTGACCCAGGCTTTTCTTTTTGATTCTAAAGGCCCTCCAGATCCAGTACTTTATCCTGACCCTGCAGAGCTCAGGATCTGTGGTTCAGGCCTGGGGCTGAATATGGAATTCATATTCATATGACTATGGCACACAGGTACATTCCGGGCAAGTGTGAGGGGGGTCTGGCTTCCGGGGCCCGCCGTAGGCCCCTAGTCCCAGGGCCTGTATTGGAGGAGAGATTGACTCTTTCCTCTGCCCATCCTGGGATGGGAAGTCGGGGCCTTGGGACAGATGCAGTACAACCCCTGCTCCTGGAAACTGACAGAGACCCACCGAATCCAGCCCCTATTCCTAGGCTGGGCCCCTGCCCATCTCCCTGACCACACCACTCTGAAGGGCTCTCATTTGCAGACACCCCATTGCCCTTCTAAAAACCTCTCCCGGCCAAGCTTGGTGGCTCATGCCTGTAATCCCAGCACTTTGGGAGGTGGAGTTGGGTAGATCACCTGAGGTCAGGAGTTCCAGACCAGCCTGGCCAACATGGTGAAACCCTGTCTCTACTAAAAATACAAAAATTAGCTGGGTGTAGTGGGGGGGCGCCTGTCATCCCAGTTACTCAGGAGGCCGAGGCAGGAGAATTGCTTGAACTCGGGAGGCAGAGGTTGCAGTGAGCTGAGATCCTGCCACTGCGCTCCAACCTGGGCAACCGAGCAAGACTGTCTCAAAAAAACAAATGAAAAACCTTTCTCACCCATTCAGTCAGTCCCCAAGTCTTAGCTCAGTCCCATGAGTGACAGTGCATGTCAGTGGCCATCATATCTCAAGCCATCCTGGTCCCAACATACATTCCAGGGAAAAGAAGGAATCCTGGGGCCTTGGGAATTGATTCAAAGCAGAACAGCTTCATGAATGGCCCGGCCAACAGAAGGCAGCCTAGGCTGAGCCCTACTGTCCCCTCCCTGTCATCTGATGAGTAGACCACCAGGGAGCCACACACATGACAGATGATGAGGGCAGAGGCTGCAAGACAGATACCTGCTAGGTCTCCGTGTCAGGTACAGTGGCTGCTTAGGAATGAAGCACATGGGCCGGCTGTGGTGGCTCATGCCTGTAATCCCAGCACTTTGGGGGGCCGAGGCGGGTGGATCACTTGAGGTCAGGGGTTCGAGACCAGCCTGGCCAACATGGTGAATCCCCGTCTCTACTAAAAAATACAAAAATTAATCGGGCGTGGTGGCACATGCCTGTCATCCCAGCTACTCGGGAGGCTGGGGCACGAGAATCACTAGAACCTGAGAGGCGGAGGTTGCATTGGGCCGAGATCGCACCACTGCACTCCAGCCTGGGCGACAGAGCGACACTCCATCCCAAAAAAAAAAAAAAAGAGTGAGGCACATGGACTTTGGAGTCACATGGACCCTGGTTTGAATCCTCACAACTCCTATAATGGCTGTGTGACCTTGAGCAAGCCACTCAGCCACTCTGAGCTTCAGCTTCCTGTCTATAACAGTGGGGGCTGCTCTGGTCCTGCTGCACGGCCACACCTCTGATATGTGGTGTCAACAAGTGCTCAGTTCTGCCAAGACCTGGGCTTCCCTCCAACTCCCATTAGAAAACAGCCCATCTGGGATTCCTTCTCCAAAAGAGCACTGAGCTTGCCAGACCCAGCTGTACCTGAAGTCAACGACAGGAACTGCCTGGAGGGGGGTCATTTTCCTGTGTCCGAGGATAGGCACCTCGGCTCCAACTGTGCTGCTGGCCTGGGGGTTGCTCTCTCCCTCCTGCACTCCCTGTCATTTGTATCAAAGTCCTTTTCTCCATTGCTTCCTGAGTGGGTCATTAGGTGGAGATCCACAGCCTTCCTCCATCCTGATCACATGAATTCCCCCAATCTGGAAAGTATTCACAATTTTGTGTCACTAATTCCAGAGACTAATAGAGATTACACACACACATACACAGGCCTTCAAATGATAACCTGCCAGGAGAAAAATGCTATTTTTTTTTTTTTTTGAGACGGAATCTCGCTCTGTCGCCCAGGCTGGAGTGTAGTGGCGCGATCTCGGCTCACTGCAAGCTCCGCCTCCAGGGTTCACACCATTCTCCTGCCTCAGCCTCCCAAGTAGCTGGGACTACAGGCGCCCGCCGCCACGCCCAGCTAATTTTTTGCATTTTTAGTAGAGACGGGGTTTCACCGGGTTAGCCAGGATGGTCTCGATCTCCTGACCTCATGATCCACCCGCCTTGGCCTCCCAGAGTGCTGGGATTACAGGCGTGAGCCACTGCGCCTGGCCGAAAAATTCTGTTAAGGGAAAGATATCACTTTGGGAAGCCAAGGCAGGTGGATTGCTTGAGCCCGGAAGTTTGAGATCAGCCTGGGCAACAAAGGGAGACCCCGTCTCTACAAAAAAACCAAACAAACCACAAAAATTAGCTGGGCATGGTAGCACGCACCTGTAGTCCCAGCTACTTGGAAGGCTGAGGTGGGAGGATCACTTGAACCCAGGAAGCAGAGGTTGCAGTGAGCCAAGGTCACACCACTGCACTCCAGCCTGGGCAACAGACAGACCATTTCCTTGTTTCCAAAAATGAAAAAGGGAAAGATATTATTGGGTCAACAGAGAAAACTAGAGTGTGAACAGTAAACTGGATAAAATAATTGCAATAATGTTCAATTTACTGAAGTTGGTAAAGGAAACGTGATTGTGTAAGAGAATATCCCTGTTCTCAGAAAAGACTCACTTAAGTATTTGGTGGTAAATGATATATGTAACTTTCTCTTGAACGATCCAGGAAAATAATGCACATCCATTTATACACATATCATAGATACTCATAGACATTTGCTTATATGCACTTACCACAGGCACTGATTATAGACACACATACACACATATGAGTGAGAGGGAGAGGGAGGGAACGGGGGAGGGAGACAAAGTGATCGAATAATGAAACAAGGGTAAAATGTTATCGATTGAGAGTCTGGCTAAAGGGCATGTGAGTATTTTTCATACAATTTTAATTTTGCAACTTTTATTTTTGAGACAAAGTCTCACTTTGTTGCTCAGGCTGGGGTGCAATGGCACAATCTCACTGCAACCCCGTCTCCTGGGTTCAAGTGATTCTCCTGCCTCAGCCTCCTGAGTAGCTGGGATTACAGGTGCGCGCCACCACACCCAGCTAATTTTTGTGTTTTCAGTAGAGATGGGGGTTTCACCATGTTACCCAGGCTGGTCTCGAACTCCTGACCTCAAGTCATACACCCACCTTGGCCTCCCAAAGTGCTGGGATTACAGGTGTGAGCCACGTGCTTGGCCACAACTTTTCTGTAATTATTCGAAGTAAAAAAAAAAAAAAAAAAAAAGAGAACCTCTAAACCTCAACTTACTTTGTCTAACTTTTATAGACAGAGCCTATGTTATTTGCTCTGGGGTTTTCCATTTTAAACCTGACCTTTCTGGCTCTGGGGTTTTCCATTTTATTTTTTATTTTTATTTTTTTGAGACGGAGTCTCGCTCTGTAGCCCAGGCTGGAGTGCAGTGGCTGGATCTCAGCTCACTGCAACCTCCGCCTCCCGGGTTCACGCCATTCTCCGGCCTCAGCCTCCTGAGTAGCTGGGACTACAGGCGCCCGCCACCTCGCCCGGCTAGTTTTTTGTATTTCTTAGTAGAGACGGGGTTTCATCGTGTTAGCCAGGATGGTCTCGATCTCCTGACCTCGTGATCCGCCCCATCTCCGGCCCTCCCCAAAGTGGCTGGGATTACCAGGGCTTGAGCCACCGCACCCGGCCGGGTTTTCCATTTTAAAAACACCCTGACCTTTCTGGTTCCGGGTGAAGGCAAAGACAGATGACATAGGATTATAGTATGTCTGTATGTTTTCAACTATTTCTCCTGAAACTTGGAAACATATTAGACCATGTGGGACACCACGCAGATGGGAACAGGAGATAAATGTGTGTTCATATATACTCCTCCACAAACATATATGTCTCGGGCTGGGCGTGGTGGCTCACGCCTGTAGTTCCAGCACTTTGGGAGGCCAAGGCAGGCAGATCATTTGAGGTCAGGAGTTTGTGACCAGACTGGCCAACATCGTGAAACCCTATCTCTACTAAAAATACAAAAATGAGCAGGGCGTGGTGGTAGGCACCTGTAATCCCTGCTACTCGGGAGGCTGAGGCAGAGGAATCATTTGAACCTGGGAGACGGAGGCTGCAGTGAGCCCAGATCGCGCCATTGCACTGAAACCTAGGTGATAGAGTGAGACTCCGTCTCAAAAGAAACCCCAAAAACCAAAAAGCAAACATGCACATCTCTCTCCCTATCTCTCTGTTGATTGATTTAAACTTTGAGATGCCAACTACAGTGCCTATCAGGGTGGCAGGCAGGTAATGTGAATGAATGAAACAGGCCAGTCATAAGAAAAGTCAAGTACCAATACCACAATAAAACTTTCTTGATTTTTACTGAGTAGTGAGGCATACAATGTCATATAAACAAGTATGATACTGCAGATTATATTTCTGATTCAAAGTGGAAAAAAACTGAAAAAAAAAAGTTTAAGAATTCATTTTGTCGGCTGGGCACAGTGGTTCATGCCTGTAATCCCAGCACTTTGTGAGATCAAGGCGGGTGGATCACCTGAGGTCAGGAGTTCGAGACCAGCCTGGCCAACATGGTGAAACCCCGTCTCTACTAATACAAAAATTAGCCGGGCCTGATGGCGAATGCCTGTAGTCCCAGTTACTCGGGAGGCTGAGGCAGGAAAATCGTTCGAACCCAGGAGCTAGAGGTTGCAGTGAGCCGAGATTGTGCCACTGCACTCCAGCCTGGGCGACAGAGCAAGACGCCGTCTCAAAAAAGAAAAAAATAATTCATTTTGTCATCTCCTTTGGGCCTAGAAGACTCCAGCCCTTCCCACCATAGGGTCCTGCCAGGAGTTTTCTCTCTATCACGTTGCGATGTGCAGTACAGAGTCCCACTGGGAATCCTTTAACTGGGAGCAGTATTTTGTTTTGCTCAGTTTCATAATGGAGAAGAGCTGCTCGCAGATGTAGGTGCTCCCGAACATGGAGAGAACCTTTGCGCAGTGGTGCTTGTATTTAGGGTAGCTGCCCCAGAGGTACTTGTAGAATTCTGGTATTCCCACCTTGTCGTATTTCGTCTTCAGGACCGTGTTACATTGCAGGTCGATCACCTCCATCTGGAGCTCCTCGTGCACACTGTCTATCTTCATGGAGAACGGGGAGCTGAACACAGCCAGTTCGCTTTCGTAGAGTTTGAAATCGGACAGCCTTTTCTGGAATTCGGCCTTGAGTTCCGCGATTTTAGGAATGTAGTTCAGGCCATCGCTTTCATTTCTGGAAACTGATTTCAGGGTGGGAAAGTGGGCCAAATTATTCCTCGCCAAATGAGTCTCCCAGAGGCACAGTTTTGCTAGGAACGCCCGGATCAAGTCATACATCTGCGTGACGATTTGGGAGTGCCCTTGGAGAGAGATGTTCAAAGTGTTCAGGTGCATCGTCATGTCAACCAAGAAGGCCAGGTCTCGGATCCAATCTATGGAGCTCAGTTGAGGCAGGGGTTTGCCTCTGGACGACATGAAGGAGTCGATTTCTTCCAACGATTCAAAAAATCTCTTTAGCACCAGCCCGCGACTGAGCCACTTAATCTCCGTGTAGTACAGGAGGCTACCATATTGGCTGTCCAGCTCATAGAGCAAGGTTGTGAACTCGCTGTGGTTCAGTCCCCGGGAGCATATCCAGTTCACGGAGTTCACTACCACGTCCATGACGTGGTCCATCTTCAGCTTCTGAGCACAGAGTGATTCCGGATGAATTATACAACAGAGGGACTTCAGTTCCGCACCCTTGCAGAACGTGGCCACCCTGCTCTTCAGTTTTGTGACAAGCCCGTTATTGGCATCCACCATCGCCGGGGTGCCAGTGGAGGCCACGCTTACTAATTTCGACCAGTCGATACAGAACTTTTTCAGACTCTTCTCAACACGCGAAAAGATCTCGTTTCCAGATTTTGTACCCGTCATGGGCACTGTGTCCAGAAGTTCTTCGGACACATCGAAGTTCTCATCGACGCCGCGGATGAAAATGGCCAACTGGGTGGTATTATTTATATCCGTGATCTCATCGATTGCGATAGAATATGCCACAAAAGACCTGATTTTTTCACGTAACTTCTCCCATAAGTTCCCAGCCAGGTCCTCCACAGGCTGCACAGGGGATTTCTGGGTTGGACTTGCGTTTGCCAACACTTGTTTTTGCTCGGGACACTCGGTGTCTGACGAGCCTAAGAGATACTTTCTGAGCCCTTTTTTCAGCTCGTGAAGCTTCTCATCACGCATTCTTTCCGTATACTGGTCGTAGTGCTTGCTGTGGTTGGTTTGATAGTGGCGTCTTAGGTTATATTCTTTGGACACAGACATGCTTTGTTTGCATATGAGACATGTTGGAATATTCTGTACTTCCACGAAGAAATACGCTCTCTCCCACTTTTCTTGAAACACACGGCCCTCTTGGTCTATCTTTCGTTTTCCCACTTTTGACAGAGACAGGGAGACAAAAATATTTCACTTTTCTCTTAACGTGACTATGAGGAAAACAACAGCAAATGCTTGATGAGGCACGTGAGGGAGGAAGCAGGTGGGGCGGGGTGTGGTTCACAGGAGGGTGACCCACCCTGCAGAGAGGGACGGCTGACCCTCAACTCCAGCAAACTGCTGCCACGCCAGCTGTGGCCAGACGTCGTCTCAAAAAAAAAAAAAAGAAAAAAAAGAAAAAAAGAAAAAGGAAAAGAATAAAAAGAAAACCAAAGTATTCTATTAAAATGCTCCATTCTCTCCCCCCCCCCCCCCCCCCCCCCCCCCCCCCCCCCCCCCCCCCCCCCCCTCCATCTCCTTCTTCCCCAAATGCATCTGACCTTTTTTTTTTTTTTTTTTTTTTTTTTTTTTTTGAGACGGAGTTTTGCTCTGTCGCCCAGGCTGGAGTGCAGTGGCGCAATCTCGGCTCAATGCAACTTCCGCCTCCCGGGTTCAAGCGATTCTTCTGCCTCAGCCTCCTGAGTAGCTGGGATGACAGGCGACCGCCACCACACCCACCTAAGTTTTGTATTTTTAGTAGAGATGAGGTTTCACCATGTTGTCCAGGCTGGTCTCGAACTCCTGACCTCAGGAAATCCACCTGCCTCAGCCTCCCAAAGTGCTGGGATTACAGGCGTGAGCCACTGCACCCAGCCAGATCTTCAGGTTTTCTAAAGAAAATCTGAAGATTGACTTTTATGAAAGAGTGCCTGGTTTTTCAATGTTGGCCACTATTCCTTTTTTTTTTTTTTTTTTTTTCCGAGACAAAGTCTCACTCTGTCATCCAGGCTGGAGTGCAGTGGTGTGATAATGGCTCACTGCAACCTGGAACTCCCTGGGCTCAGGCGATCCTCCCACCTCAGCTCCCCAGTTGCTGGGGCTACAGGCATGCACCACCACACCCAGCTATTTTTTCTTTCTTCTTCTTTTTTTTTTTTTTTGTAAAGCTGGAGTATTGCCATGTTGCCCAGGCTGGTCTGAAACTCCTGGGCTCAAGCGATCCACCCGCTTTGGCCTCCCAAAGTGCTGAGATTACAGGAGCCACCATGCCTGGCCTCGTCCTTATTTTTAAAAATACATGAGCCAAACAAAAGACACCTTTGATGAGGTTCAGCACATAGCTGTGCTTGTTACATCCAGTTTAAACAGGAATTATTTGATAATATGTTTGCATTTTCTTTTTAGAGACAGGGTCTTGTTCTGTCACCCAGGCTGGAGTGTAGTGTTGCAATTATGGCTCTCTGCTGTCTCAAACTCCTGAGTTTAAGTGATCCTCCTGCTTCAGCCTGCCAAGTAGCTGGGGATACAGGTATGAGCCACTATGTCCAGCTAATTTTTAAATTTTTTGTAGAGATGGGGTTCTTGCTGTGTTGCCCAGGCTGGTCTCGAACTCCTGGCTTCAAGCAATCCTCTTGCCTTGGCCTCCAAAAGTCCTGGGATTATAGGCGTGAGCATTTTAACATATTTTCTCATTTGATTCCCAAGAAAACTTTGAAATAACAGAGATGGAAATGAGCACAGAAAAGTCATATGATTTTTACCTACTGTGAGTCTCAGACGACAAGGGTGATAGCCACAGAACCACACAAAACTCATACATATAAGTGTGTTCAAGTGTACAGGGGCTAGTGTTTTAGATGTAAAGAACCTGGCCACCCTTCAGGTAATCAAGGTATTTCCAGAGTACACACACATAAAAGTGCACCTTAAGAAACTCAGGCCCTGTACAGTGTCATGCCTATAATTTCAGCACTTTGGGAGGCTGAGGCAGGAGGATTGCTTGAAGCCAGAAGTTCAAGGCCAGCCTGGGAAATATAGCGAGACCCCGTCTCTCCAAAAAAAAAAAAAAAAAATTAGCTGGGCATGGTGGTGCTGTCCCAGCTACTCCGGAGGCAGAGGTGGGAGAATTGCCTGAGGGCAGGACTTCCAGGCTGCAGTAAGCTATGTTCACACCACTGCACTCCAGCCTGGGCGACAGTGACCTTGTCTCTAAAAAAACCCCAATAATAATAATAATAACATAAATACATAAAGCTATTATAAAAGATCAAAAAATCATTTAGCAATCAGATGCATTTGGGAAGAAGAATGGAGCATTTTAATAGAATACTTTGGTTTTCTTTTTTTTCTTTCTCTCTTTTTTTTTTTTTTTTGAGATGGAGTCTTGCTCTGTCGCCAAACTGGAGTGCAGTGGCACGATCTCGGCTCACTGCAACCTCCCACTCCCTGGTTCAAGTGATTCTCCTGCCTCAGCCTCCTGAGTAGCTGGGATTACTACTCATTAGTAGTAGTAGTAATCCCAGTGGTGGCACGCGCCACCATGCCTGGCTAATTTTTGTATATCTAGTAGAGACAGAGTTTCATCATGTTGTACAGAAGGGTCTCCATCTCCTGACCTCATGATCCGTCCACCTCGGCCTCCCAAAGTGCTGGGATTACAGGCGTGAGTCACCATGCCCAGCCTACTTTGGTTTTCAAATGTTACATTAGGAGGTTCCCTGGTTGACTCACGCTCGTGAGAACACCTCTCCATATTCTACTTGACAGGATACTGATTCACTTGCAAGGGCTCCAGGGAAGATATTAAGAATATTTAACAGGGTGGGGGTGGGTAGGGAGAGGGAGAGCATCAGGAAGAATAGCTAATGGATACTGGGCTTAATATCTAGGTGATAGGTTGATCTGTGCAGCAAACCACCATGGCACACATTTACCTATGTTTAACAAACCTGCACATCCTACACATGTACCCTAGAACTTAAAATAAGTGTTGAAGGGGGAAAAAAAAAAGAGAGAACATTTAAGTAGCAGAATGCCTGGGCATTGCTCAATCAGAACAGATGCTGAGCCGGGTGCGGTGGCTCACATCTGTAATCCCAGTACTTTGGGAGGCCAAGGTGGGTGGATTACTTGAGGTCCGGAGTTTGAGACCAGCCTGGCCAACATGGCTAAACTCTGTCTCTACTAAAAAATACAAAAATTAGCCGGATGTGGTGGCACACACCTGTCATCCCAGCTAATCGGAAGGCTGAGGCAGGAGAATCGATTGAACCTGGGAGGCGGAGGTTGCAGTGAGCCAAGATCGCGCCACTGCACTCCAGCCTGGGTGACAGAGCGAGACTCTGTCTCAAAAAAAAAAAAAAAAAAAAAAGAACAGATGCTAATCTCAGCACTGGAAGGGTTCTGGGGGGCCCCTGCTGTACCAGGTGGAATCCCTTTTGCTTCAGCACTGTAGGGAGGTCAAGCCAAGGTCTAGAGGTGGGGAGGTACTACAGCGGGGCTGGGGGCCAAACAGGCACTATTTATCAACTAACACAGAGGAGATCGGTACTGTGATCCTGAGCGCAGCTGTGCGGGTGGCCTCAGGGGAGCCCCCGCCACATAGCACATTTGAATAGTATGCCACATCGGCCATGCACAGTGGCTCATGCCTGTAATCCCAGCACTTTGGGAGGTAGAGGTGGGCAGATCACTTGAGGTCAGAAGTTCGAGACCAGCCTGGTCAACATGGCAAAAACATCTCTACTAAAAATACAAAAATTAGCCAGGCGTGGTGGCACGCGCCTATAGTCCTAGCTACTCAGGAGGCTGAGGCAGGAGATCGCTTGAACCTGGGAGGGGGCAGCTGCGGTGAGCTGAGATTGTGCCATTGCACTCCAGCCTGGGTGACAGAGCGAGACTCGTCTCCAGAAAAAAAAAAAAAAAAAAAAAAGAGTGTGCCACATTACACATCACACTCATGGTGTGATATACATTATGCTTCTTCAGACTGTTGTATGAGAAAAAATGCCTGGTTAATCAAACTCAAGTAACAGAGTTATCTAACTTTATCACATGCAGGAAAAATAAAGCATGCATCAAAGGTCGTGTACTTGGGTCCCAGTCTCAAGGAAGCAAAGACCCTGAGCGCCCACCCAGACACTTCCCGCGGCCCAACATTGCCAGAACGTTCTTCTCACCAGGCAGAATACTCACCATTACTGAGCTCAAGCCCTGGAAGCGGCCTGAAGAGAGAGACACATTGATAAATGCGACAAGCTCATGTTTCCTCTTTTGGCCACTTAGTTTTATTATTTTTTAAATTTTTACTTATTTATTTTTTTACAGAAGAATATTTATTTATTTATTTATTTATTTATTTATTTATTTTGTTTTTGTGTTTTTGAGACAGAGTCTCCCTCTGTCACCCAGGCTGGAGTGCAGTGGTGCGACCTCAGCTCACTGCAAGCTCCGCCTCCTGGGTTCAAACCATTCTCCTGCCTCAGCCTCCTGAGTAGCTGGGACTACAGGCACCCGTCACCACACTCGACTAATTTTTTGTATTTTTAGTTTCACCATGTTGGCCAGGCTAGTCTTGAACTCCTGACCTCAAGATATCTACCTGTAAAGGCGTGAGCCACTGCACCGAACTTTTTGTTTTTGTTTTTGTTTTGAGACGGAGTCTCACTCCATCACCCATGCTGGAGTGCGGTGGTGTCATCTGGGCTCACTGCAACCTCCACATTCCAGATTCAAGTGATTCTCCTGAAGTAGCTGGGATTATAGGCACGTACCACTACACCCGGCTAATGTTTATTTTTAGTAGAGATGGAGTTTCACCATGTTGGCCAGGCTGGTCTCGAACTCCTGACCTCAAATGATCCACTTGCCTCGGCCTACCAGAATGCTGAGATTACAGGCCTGAGCTACCATGCCCGGCCTATTTATTTATTTTTGGAGATGGAGTCTCACTCTGCTGCTCAGGCTGGAGTGCACTGGCGCCATGTCAGCTCACTGCAACCTCCACCTCCCAGGTCAAGCGATTCTCATGCCTCAGCCTCCTGAGTAGCTGGGATTAGAGGCACCCGCCACCACACCCGGCTAATTTTTGTATTTTTAGTAGCGACGGGGTTTCACCATGTTGGCCAGTCTTGCCTCAAATTCCTGACCTCAGACGACCTGCCCATCTCAGCCTCCCAAAGTGCTGGGATTACGGGCGTGAGCCACCGTGCCCGGCCCCACTTAGTTTGATTGGACAAACTTTTGCGGAGTGTTAACTCTATGCTAGGTGCTGTGTGAGCTACAACTGGGACGGGCTGCCCGTGATCACCGAGGAACAAGAACATGGATACATCTCAAGGAAGCAGAAGATGATGAAGTCACTGCGGGAACAAACCCCCAGCCCAAGTCACGGGGCAGACATTCCTGGGCTGCCACGTGCCCACCTTGGGCAAGTCAGAGTTTCCAGATTCATTCTCTTGACTCACTTACCTGATGACTGTGAATTTGATAAACTCAGCTGCCTCCAAGATCCTCCTCATGGAACTGATTTCCAGGTAGCCGGGGGCCTTGAATACCACCCCCGGGGGCATGCCGTCAATCACCACACAGCCAGGGTTGAATGTGATCTTCCTGTAGGGAACTTTCACAGGGAAATCCACGCCAATTGCTTCACCTGTGACAGGATGAGCAGCATAAAACCAGCTGAGTTTGGCTGGGCGCGGTGGCTCACACCTGTAATACCAGCCCTTTGGGAGACTGAGGCAGGTGAATCACTTGAGGCCAGGAGTTTGAGACCAGCTATGGCTAACATGGCGAAACCCCGTCTCTACTAAAAATACAAAAATTAGCTGGGCATGGTGGCACATGCCTGTAATCCCAGTTACACGGGAGGGACCCAGGAGGCAGAAACTACAATTAGCTGAGATCGCCCCACTGCACTCCAGCCTGGGAGACAGAGCGAGACCCTGCCTCAAAACAAAACAAAACAAAACAACAACAACAAAAACACAAATAAAACTAGCTGAGTTTGTTCCTTACATTTCCTAAACCAGAACTTAGAAGCATCAAATGACAATACTTATAATCAGTCATTATTATTTTCCAGTGGTACTATGATGTGTGAATATAATTTTAACATTTTCAAATTGGCATGGGTAGTAGGCAAACTCAGTTTCTCCATCCATTACAGAGGGTTATCCTGGCGCCTACCTGAAAGGTTTTATGTGAGGATTAAATGATCAAACACATGTTGAGCACAAAAAATAATACGCAAGGTGAGCACTCAGTAAAATAAAGATAGCTATTATTATTATTGTAATTAGTCAATGCTACCACGCAAAAGCTCTTCTGTAAAAGACACATTGACTAATTTTTATCACAGCTCTTTCACAAAAAGATCAATTTCTTCTTCTTTTTTTTTTTTTTCCTGAGACAGGGTCTTGCTCTGTCGCCCAGGCTGGAGTGCAACAGTGCGATCTCAGCTCACTGCAACCTCCACCTCCCAGTTTCAAGCGATTCTCGTGCCTCAGCCTCCTGAGTTGCTGGGATTACAGGCATGCACCACCACACCTGGCTAATTTTTTGTATTTTTAGTAGAGATAGGGTTTCACCATGTTGGCCAGGCTGGACTCGAACTCCTGGCCTCAAGTGATCCACCCACCTTGGCCTCTCAAAGTGCTGGGATTAAAAGCGTGAACCACTGCGCCCAGCCAAGATCAATTTCTTGTAAGATAAAGTAATTTTTTTTTTTTTTTTTTTTTTTTTTTTTTACAGACCTGGGGGTCACTTTGTTGCCCAGGCTGGTCTCAAACTCCTGGGCTCAGGTGATTCTCTAGCCTTGGCCTCCTGAAGTGCTGGGATTACAGGTGTGAGCCAATGCACCTGGCCAAGTATTCTTTTTTTTTTTTTTTTTTTTTTTGAGACGGAGTCTCGCTCTGTCGCCCAGACTGGAGTGCAGTGGTGCGATCTCGGCTCACTGCAAGCTCCGCCTCCCGGGTTCACGCCATTCTCCTGCCTCAGCCTCCGGAGTACCTGGGACTACAGGCGCCCGCCACCACGCCCGGCTAATTTCTTTTTGTATTTTTAGTAGAGACAGGGTTTCACCGTGTTAGCCAGGATGGTCTCGATCTCCTGACCTCGTGATCCGCCCACCTCGGCCTCCCAAAGTGCTGGGATTACAGGCTTGAGCCACCGCGCCCGGCCAAGTATTCTTTTAAAAAGAAGTATTTTAAGTATATGAATTCTGGATATAAAAAGATATAAAAACTTACCAAATTTTCGGCTAAAGAGGTCATTAACTTGTTCTCTTAGCTGTTTAATCTTTTCAATGCTTGATAATCTTTCCTTCTCATTATCTAAAAATAATTAAACAAATAAACAAATCAAGGTTATTCATGTATTTTCTCCCAAGAGAGCTGTTGGGAGAAATGCCTGTTAGCCCCCGAGAAAGTGCTTTACCTGGATTGTTATTCAGTTTACTTTTAGCAATAATTAAGCATTTTGGAAATTTGGAAATGGAAGCCATTATAGATAATACAGAATTTTCCAAATCATAACCCTATATAAACATACTACATATTACTTTTAAGGAATATTTTCAATATCATACAAGACAAAGATGTTTACTTTCACCACCACTTTTCAGCCTTAAAATAGAAATCTTAGCCAATGAAATATGACAAGTAAAAGGAATAAGAGGTACTAGGATTAGAAGGAAAGGTATATTTTTGTTTTCTTTCTTTTTTTCTTTTTCTTTTTTCTTTTTTTTTTTTTTTTTTTTTTTTTTTTTTTGAGGCTGAGTTTTGCTCTTGTCGCCCAGGCTGGTGTACAATGGTGCAATCTTGGTTCACTGCAAACTTCTGGGTTCAAGCAATTAATTGCACCCCTCCCAGATTCAAGCTATTCTTCTGCCTCAGCCTCCTAAGTAGCTGGGATTATAGGCGCCCACCACCACACCTGGCTAATTTTTGTAATTTTAGTAGAGACAGGGTTTCACCATGTTGGGCAGGCTGGTCTCAAACTCCTGACCTCAGGTAATCCACCTGCCTCAGCCTCCCAAAGTGTTGAGTTTACAGGCACATGCCACCATGCCTGGCCCTTTTTTTGTTTTTATTTTTTTTATTTTTATTTTTATTATTATTTTTTTTTGTTGTTGAGACAGAGTCTCGCTCTGCCGCCCAGGCTGGAGTGCAGTGGCCGGATCTCAGCTCACTGCAAGCTCCGCCTCCCGGGTTCACGCCATTCTCCTGCCTCAGCCTCCCGAGTAGCTGGGACTATAGGCGCCCGCCACCTCGCCCGGCTAGTTTTTTGTATTTTTTAGTAGAGACGGGGTTTCACCATGTCAGCCAGGATGGTCTCGATCTCCTGACCTCGTGATCCGCCCGTCTCGGCCTCCCAAAGTGCTGGGATTACAGGCTTGAGCCACCGCGCCCGGCCATGTTTTTATTTTTTAGATATTTTTCAACACTTTAAAACTTTATTTACTTTTGAATAACTAAAGCAATCACATGGCTCAACACTGAAGAAGAGTAATACACAGAAACATCTCAAATGTCTCTCTCCCATCCCTATCTCAGCTGTCAGTTTCCTTCCCTGGAGGAACTATGTTATTAGAGTCTCTTGTATATTTCTAGATATATTTTACATACACATATTCAGAAAAGAAGACTATTATTATTATTATTTATTTTTTTGAGACGGAGTCTTGCTCTGTCCCCCAGGCTGGAGTGCAGTGGCGCGATCTCGGCTCACTGCAAGCTCCGCCTCCCGGGTTCATGGCATTCTCCTGCCTCAGTCTCCTGAGTAGTTGGGAATACAGGCGCCCGCCACCATGCCTGGCTAATTTTTTGTATTTTTTTAGTAGAGACGGGGTTTCACCATGTTAGCCAGGATGGTCTCGATCTCCTGACCTCGTGATTCACCCATCTCAGCCTCCCAGAGTTCTGGGATTACAGGCGTAAGCCACTGCGCCCAGCAGGAAGATTATTAATGATGGGCAACAAAACATTTCACCTCTGTGGCCAATTCCAGTTCAGCCATAGCTGGTGCTCGGTGCTGCCTGCTCTGAGATGCATTTTCCAGGTAATGCCCGGGCTTGGCCAGGAGAAGCAAAATATCTGGTTAACAATGTCTGATACGAGCAAGATGCTTGGTGTGTAGCAACTTGCCGCATATTTTATATTCCCAAACTGTCATTTCTTAGTTGTCAGGGTGAACTAAGTGAAAAATGACAGGTCCAAGAGACCACCCTATGTCAAAAAAGAATTCAGACAAAAGGAAAAATGTAACATTAGTCCATACCTGGAACAGTCACTTGAACGATGTTAAGATCTTCAACACCTGCTGCAGAGTTTGTAGTAACACTGGATGAATTTGTGTTTCCTTAAAACAGAGGTTGAAATTTAGAATTTACCAAGAATAAAGCCAATTCACCTTTAAATATGTCTAAGTACTGCTTTGATCAGAAGCCCAGACTGATTATTATTATTATTATTATTTTTTTGAGACAGGTTCTTACTCTGTCATCCAGGCTGGAGTGCAGTGGTATGATCCTAGCTCACTGCAGCCTCTACCTCCCATGGTCAAGGGATCCTCCCACCTCAGCCTTCTGAGTAGCTGGGACCACAGACATGTACCACCATGCCTGGCTTTTTTTTTTTTTTTTTTTTTTGAGATTGAGTCTGTCGCCCAGGCTGGAGTGCAGTGGTGCAATCTCAGCTCACTGCAATCTCTGCCTCCCAGGTTCAAGCGATTCTCATGCCTCAGCCTCCTGAGTAGCTGGGATTATAGGAGCCCACCACCACCCCCAGCTACTATTTGTATTTTTTTAGTAGCGATGGAGTTTCACCATGTTGGTCATGCTGGTCGAGAACTCCTGACCTCAACTGATTCACCTGCCTGGGCCTCCCAAAGTGCTGGGATTACAGGTGTGAGCCACCACACCTGGCTCTAATTCTTGTATTTTTAGTAGAGATGGGGTTTCGCTGTGTTGGCCAGGCTGGTCTTGAACTCCTGGCCTCAAGGGATCCACCTACCTGGGTCTCCCAAAGTGCTGGGATTACCCAGGTGTGAGCCACCACACCCAGCTCTAATTTTTGTATTTTCAGTAGAGACAGCGTTTTGCCATGTTGGCCAGGCTGGTCTTGAACTCCTGGCCTCAAGGAATCCACCCACCTGGGTCTCCCAAAGTGCTGGAATTACAGGTGTGAGCCACCACGCCAGCCCTAAATCACACTTTCAATTTCACTTCTTTTAGATACTTGCACTTAAACTGAGTTCACCAGCTGCAGGCCTGAGCGGTTACTTTTGATATCTGTCTGTCCACTCCAGTAGGAAAGGGGCTATGTGTGAGTGAATCGTCCTTTCCTTTCTATTCTCCCCGCTTATGTACCCTCCACCCTTCATTCTTTCCTTACTTGAACACAGCACAGAAGAGGCCCAGTTGTGGGTCAGTGCTAATGTGAAAGACTTAAAAAAATTTTGTTTTAATTTTTATTTTTAGAGATGTTGACCACACTGGAGTGCAGAGGCATAAACACAGCTCACTGCAGCCTCGAAATCCTGGGCTCAAGCGATCCTCCCACCTCAGCCTCCTAAGTAGTTGAGACTACAGGTGTGTGCCACCATGCCTGGCTAATATTTTTGTTAGTTTGTTTTGAGGCAGGATCTCACTCCCATCATGCGGGCTGGGGTATTGTAGCACAATTACAGCTCACTGCAGCCTCGACTTCCCTGGGCTCAGGTGATTGGCCCACCTCAGCCTCCCTAATAGCTGGGACTACAGGTGTGTGCCACCATGCCCTGCTAATTTTTTGTATTTTTAGTAGAGACAGGGTTTCACTATGCCCAGGCTGGTCTCAAACTCCTGGGATCAAGTGATCTGCCCACCTCAGCCTCCCAAAATGCTGGGATTACAGGCATGAGCCACCATGCCTTGCCTAATTTTTTTTACTGTTTATTTTTTGCAGAGATGGAGTCTCACTATGTTGCCCAAGCTTATCTAGAACTCCAGGGTTCAAATGATCCTCTTGCCTTGGCCTCTCAAAGTCACAAAGTGCTGGGATTACAAGCATGCACCATCATGCCTGGTTATTATTTTTCTTTTCTTTCTAATTTTTTTGCACAGCTAATTATGTTGTCTACAACACCCCAAAGTACTGGGCCCTAATGGGAATATGGGCTGCTCTATTATATATACACACATTAGAGATTTCAATCTCTTCCTCACAATTCGTTTGTTTTTTTTTTTTTTTTTTTTTTTAGATGGAATCTCGCTCTGTCACCCAGGCTGGAGTGCAGTGGTGAGATCTCGACTCACTGCAACCTCCGCCTCCCAGGTTCAAGCGATCCTCTTGCCTCAGCCTCCCGAGTAGATGGGACTACAGATGTGTGCCACCATGCCTGGCTAATTCTGTGTTTTTAGTAGAGACAGGGTTTCACCATGTTGTCCAGGCTGGTCTCAAACTCCTGGGCTCAAGCAACACACCTACCTTGGCCTCCCAAAGTGCTGGGATTACAGGCTTGAGTCACTGAGCTCAGCCATCCTATTCGCAATTAATCCTGTTAGAATGAAAATCATACTTGGCAATGGCGCGTTTGGCAACTAACCTTCGATTTTCACCTCGGCTTCAGGGTCCTCATTTGGTTCTTCTGAAGGCACCAGAGGAGTGGAATCTTGAAAAAAAAATTTCTAAAATGACATTCATTATTAAGTATTCTCCTCATATTCCAACACATTACTGCTCCTATACCAAAAAAGTAGCTTATCTTGGCATTTTAAATACACTTCATATATAATAAACATAATTTTAATTTTATAAGCAATAATAATAGGATAATAAACAGTAATTGAGCCGGGCATGGTGGCTCACACCTGTAATCCCAGCACTTTTGGGAGGCCAAGGTGGGCGGATCACTTGAGGCCAGGAGTTGAAGACCAGCCTGGGCAACATGGTGAAACCTCATCTCTACTAAAAATACAAAAATTAGCCGAGTGTGGTGGCACACGCCTGTAATCCCAGCTACTCAGGAGGCTGAGGCAAGAGAATTGCTTTAACCTGGGAGGTGGAGGCTGCAGTGAGCTGAGGTCGCAACACTGCACTCCAGCCTGGGTGACGGGGTAAGACTGTCTCCAAAAAAAACAAAAACAAAAACAAAAACAGGATCATTTTGGTAATCCGTGTGTTACTATCTCTCTAAGGCAGATACACAACTAAAAGTAAGGCCACAATGCCTGTAAATGGACAAAGATGTCCCATGCCTCTAGGTTTGGGAAGAAAATCTTTATTATTATTATTATTATTATTATTATTATTATTTGAGACAGTCTCACTCTGTCACCTAGGCTGGAGTGGAATGGTGTGATTTCAGCTCACTGCAGGCTCCGCCTCCTAGTTTCAATCAATTCTCGTGCCTCAGCCTCCAGGGTAGCTGGGATTACAGGTGCCCACCACCAAACCTGGCTAATTTTTGTATTTTTAGTAGAGACGGAGGTCTCACCATGTTGGCCAGGCTGGTCTTGAACTCCTGATTTCAGGTGATCTGCCCACCTCAGCCTCTCAAAGTGCTGGGATTACAGGCGTAAGCCACCATGCCCAGCCCTTTTTTCAATTATTAATTTTATCTTGGACATACATAAACCACCTTAGGAATTTAGGCTTTATTCATATGATGCTCAAGATTTATATATGAATGGAGGGAAGTATTATCAAATTTTACTTCTAATGCAAGAATTTCCTAAAATATTACTAACTGTGTCCAAAAGTATTCTGTCATGCCATGCAAAAGAAAAAGCAACAAACAGCAAGTTAACTTCCATACTCAGGTGCTTTAAATAGAATTACTCTGTGTTTTATAACATCACAGATCAGAAGTACAAGAAGAGATAGAGCCCTTATTACTATATCTTAGGACAAGAACTCAACCATTAATAGTTTTCTGAGAAGACAGGCATGCCAGGAAATCACCTTCTTTATTATATATAACTTGCATGTATAAAAGAGTATGTTCTCTGTAAAATGCTATAAACTTTCAGCTGGGCATAGTGGCTCACGCCTGTAATCCCAGCACTTCGGGAGATAGAGGCGGACGGATCACTTGAGGTCAGGAGTTCGAGACCAGCCTGGCCAACATGGTGAAACCCCGTCTCTACTAAAAATACAAAAATTAGCCGGGCGTGGTAGCGGGTGCCTGTAATTGCAGCTACTCAGGAGGCTGAGGCACATGAATCGCTTGAACCCAGGAGGCAGAGGTTGTAGTGAGCCGAGATCGTGCCACTGCACTCCAGCCTGGGTGACAGAGTGAGGCTCCGTCTCAAAAAAAAAACAAAAAAAGAAAAAGAAAGAGTATGTTCTTTGTAAAATACTATAAACTTTTTTAAAAGAGAGAGAGAGGATGCTGCATTTTTCTAACCTTCCATTGGTAATTCCATTTCTATTACTTCATTGCTTGTGGAAGAAGGGTGGCTTCCTGAAAGAAAAATAATATAGAACAAAGGGAGAAATATAAAAATGAAAAAAGAAATCATTGAATACAATGCAAACAATTCAATATCCACACAGGAATACACTTGAAATACTTCTGCCCCTTGAAATAAAACTGGCTGCATGCGGGGGCTCACGCCTGTAATCCCAGCACTTTGGGAGACGGAGGCAGGTGGATCACCTGAGGTCAGGAGTTGGAGACCAGCCTGGCCACCATGGTGAAACCCTGTCTCTACTAAAAATGCAAAAATTAGCTGGGTATGGTGGCAGGCACCTCTAGTCCCAGCTACTCAGGAGGCTGAGGCAGGAGAATCACTTGAACCCAGGAGGCAGAGGTTGTAGTGAACCGAGGTCACACCACTGCACTCCAGCCTGGGCGACAAGAGCAAGACTCCACCCCCCCCAAAAAATATAAATAAATAAATAAACCTCAACCAAATGATCCTTTGTTTACTTTTTTATTATTTTATTTTGGAAAATTTGAAACATACCAAAGCACAGAGATCACACAGTGAAGCATCCACGACCACCAGCCCATGTAACCTTGTTTCATCTGTACCCACCCCACCCCTGTGCCCACTGGGTGGGTAAAGGGAAGTCCCAGCGGTCATAGAATTCCATGTGGTAATACCGTAGAACGAATAAGTAAGACATAAGGGCCTGTCTTCCTTTTGCATTACCACAATATCACGATTACCCTCAAAATTAACAATCGTTCTTCATCCCCGTCTGATATCTAGTCATTGTTTAAATTTCCCTAGTTGTCTATTTATTTATTTAGAGACAGGGTCTCACTGTGTCACCCGGGCTAGGATGCAGTGGTGTGATCTTGGCTCACTGCAACCTCCACCTCCTGGGCTCAAGAGAGTCTCCCACCTCAGCCTCCCAGGTAGCTGGGACTACAGGCACATGCCACCATATCCGGCTAATTTTTTTTTTTTTTTTTTTTTTTTTGAGATGGAGTCTCGCTGTGTCTCCCAGACTGGAGTGCAGTGGCCGGATCTCAGCTCACTGCAAACTCCGCCTCCCGGGTTTACGCCATTCTCCTGCCTCAGCCTCCCGAGTATCCGGGACTACAGGAGCCCGCCACCTCGCCCGGCTAGTTTTTGTATTTTTTAGTAGAGATGGGATTTCACCGTATTAGCCAGGATGGTCTCGATCTCCTGACCTCGTGATCCGCCCGTCTCGGCCTCCCAAACTGCTGGGATTACAGGCTTGAGCCACCGCGCCTGGCCTACTCGGCTAATTTTTAAAATTTGTTTGTACAGACAGGGTCTCCTGTGTTGCCAAGGCTGATCTTGAACTCCTGAGCTCAGAAAATGTGCTCACCTCGGCCTCCCAAAGCACTGGGATTAGAGGTGTGAACCACCATGCCCAGCACATAAATGTCCTTTTTTTTTTTTAAGTTTTTATTTGGAAAATGTGTTTTATGTTTTATTTTATTATTTTTTGTATTTATTTTATTTGTAGACAGTCTTACTCTGTTGCCCGGGTCGGAGTGTGGTGATATGATTAGGATTTCCTGCAGCCTGGACCTCCTGTGCTCAAACAATCCTCCCACCTCAGCCTCCTGAGTAGCTGGGACTATAGGCATGCAGCACTGAACCTGGCTAATTTTTATTTATTTATTTGAGACAGAGTCTCACTCTGTCACCCAGGCTGGAGTGCAGTGGTGCAGTCTTGGCTCACTGCAACCTCTGCCTTCCAGGTTCAAGCAATTCTCCTGCTTCAACCTCCTGAGTAGCTGGGACTACAGGTGTGCGTCACCACGCCTGGCTAATTTTTGTATTTTTAGTAGAGACAGGGTTTCACCATGTTGGCCAGGCTGATCTCCAACTCCTGACCTCAAGTGATCCACTCGCCTCGGCCTCCCAAAGTGCTGGGATTACAGGCGTGAGCCACTGTGCCTGGCTAATTTAATACTTTTTTTGTAGAGATGGGGTCCCACTGTGTTGCTTAGGCTGGTCTTGAACTCCTGGGCTGAAGCAATCCACCTGCCTCAGCGTCCCAAGTGATCCCAAGGCGCTTTTCCCAGTGCCTGGACCGGAAACTTCAAATTTACAGAAAAGTTGCAAAAATAAAAGAGTACAAAGATCCATGTACCTTTTGCCCGGATCACACAATGTTAACATTTTACCCCGTTTCCTTGATCATCAGGATGCCTTTCCCTCCCTCCCTCCCTCCCTCCCTCCCTCCCTCCCTCTCCTCTCCCCTCCATCTGTCATCTATACAGGTGTATATACACATACTTTTTAATATTTTTCCTGAACCATTTGAGGAAAGTTACAAACATCATAGGCCTTGATCTCTAAATAATTCAGTGACTGTTTCCTAAGAATAGGGACATTCCTTTACACAATCACAATAAAGCTTTTAAAACCAGGACATTTCTCAGCTGACTCGAATGTCCTTTAGAGCTTTTCTCCTTTCAGTACAGGAGCCAGTTTAGGGCAAGGTAGTGTTTCCAGTTGTCGTGTCTTTTAAATCTCCTTTAATCAGGAACGGTTCCATAGTCTGTCTTTGTGTTTTATAACATTGACTTTTTTTTTTTTTTTGAGACAGAGTCTCGCTCTGTCGCCCAGACTGGAGTGCAGTGGCCGGATCTCAGCTCAGTGCAAGCTCCGCCTCCCGGGTTCACGCCATTCTCCTGCCTCAGCCTCCCGAGTAGCTGGGACCACAGGCGCCCGCCACCTCGCCCGGCTAGTTTTTTGTATTTTTTAGTAGAGACAGGGTTTCACCATGTTAGCCAGGATGGTCTCGATCTCCTGACCTTGTGATCCGCCCGTCTTGGCCTCCCAGAGTGCTGGGATTACAGGCTTGAGCCACCGCGCCCGGCCTAACATTGACATTTTTTACGAATAGAAATCCCCTCCTCGGCTGGGCGCAGTGGCTCATGCCTGTAATCCCAGCACTCTGGGAGGCCAAGGCAGGCAGGTTGCCACCACCTGAGGTCAGGAGTTTGAGACCAGCCTGGCCAACATGGGGAAACCCCTTCTCTACCAAAAATACAAAAATCAACCGGGCGTGGTGGTACACGCCTGTAATCTCAGCTATTCTTGAGGCTGAGCCAGGAGAATCACTTGAACCTGGGAGGTGGAGGTTGTAGTGAGCCACAGTCATGCCACTGCATTCTGGTCTGGGCGACAGAGCGAGACTCTGTCTCAAAAAAAAAAAAAAAAAAAAAAGTAAAGCAATGAATTTATCTGAGTTTCTCACATTCTGGATTTTATTGACTATGTCCTTGTGGTGATGTTTTCATATGTGCCTGTATTCCATGTATCTCCTAAAAATTGCTGGTTAGCTCTAAAGGCTGGATCAGACTTAGGTCTGATTGTTTTTTTGTTGTTGTTGTTTTTGTTTTTGTTTTTTGAGACACAGTCTCACTTCAGCACCTAGGCTGGAGTGCAGTGGTGTCATTATAGTTCGCTGCAGCCTTGACCTCCCAGACTCAAGCGATCTTCCCACCTCAGCCTCCCAAGTAGCTGGGGCTACAGGCATGCGCCACCACGCCTGGCTACTTTTTGTATTTTTTGTAGAGATGGGGTCTCACCGTGTTGCCCAGGCTGGTTTGAACTCCTGGGCTCAAGTGATACACCTGCCTTGGCCTCCCAAAGTGATCACAGGTATGAGACACTACACCTGTATTGGTTTGATTTTGTTTGTTTTTGAAGAATCCTTGACCAAAATGGTGTGGTGTACTTTCTGCTGGATCCCATCAGGAGACCAGTGACCAGTCAGTTCAGGAACTGTCAGTCAAGTCTGTCCATGATAAAGTCTCCATCAGACTTTTATAAAATGGTTGTAATGGCGACTGACAATTATTGCCAAGATGCATTGCTTCATTACGTGGTACAAAATCATGACAGTCGTGACAATTTATGACTTCTTTTTAAAAGCCTTATGGGCCGGGTGTGGCAGCTCATGCCTGTAATCCAGCACTTTGGGAGGCCAAGGTAAGTGGATCACCTGAGGTCAGGAGTTCGAGACCAACCTGGCCAACACGGCAAAACCCCGTCTCTACTAATAATACAAAAAATTAGCCAGGCATAGTGGCATACGCCTGTAATCTCAGCTCCTCAGGAGGCTGAGGCACAAGAATCATTTGAGCCCAGGAGGCAGAGGTTTCAGTGAGTGGAAACAGCACCACTGAACTCCAGCTTGGGCAACAGAGTAAGATTCTGTCTCAAAAAAAAAAAAAAAAATGTGGATTTAGGCCAGGCATGGTGGCTCACGCCTATAATCTCAGCACTTCTGGAGGCCAAGGCTGGAGGACTACTTGAGCCCAGGAGTTAGAGACCAGCCTAGGCAACAAGGTGAGACCTCATCTCTATAAAAAAGAAACAAGAGTACATGGATTTAGGTTAAATACAATCTATTTCATAACTGTAGGATTTACTCTAAATGGCAATATGCTAAATCCTAGGTAAACATACATGGGTGTTCGCCTGTTTTTCAGACAGGTAGTAATTAAAATCTTCCATCCCAAATAACTTTTGGGGAAGAAAATTATCATCAAACAGTATTACCTTGCATATTATAGTGATAGTAATTAGGATCTTCTGATTCTTTCTTGACTGCGACAGCTTCTGCTTTCAGTGAAATGCCTTAGAATGCAATGGAAATTATAAAATTGTATGTTAGGTTAAGCTTGCCAACAGAGACTATGACTAGCTAATATAAGTTGATTAATACAGCAATGTTACAATCAGCAAAAGAACTTGTAGCTCACTCACTATGAACAAATTTGACCTCTTGATACAAAAACAGAAATACTATAAATATAAAATAATGTACATATAGAAAACATACATTATGTATTTATGTATATTTATATAAAAAAATATCAATTGTAAAATCAATAGAAAAGGAAAGAAGGAAGGAGGGGACCGGGCACGGTGGCTCATGCCTGCAATACCAGTACTTTGGGAGGCCGAGGCGGGCAGATCACTTGAGGTCAGGAGTTCGAGACCAGCCTGGCCACCATGGTGAAACCCTGTCTCTACTAAAAATACAAAAATTAGCTGGGAGTGGTGGCAGACACCTGTAGCCGCAGCTACATGGGAGGCTGAGGCAGGAGAACTGCTTAAACCCAGGAGGTGGAGGTTGCAGTGAGCTGAGATAGAGCCACTGCACTCCAGCCTAGTTAACAAAGCGAGACTCTGTCTCAAAAAAAAAAAGGAAGGAAGGCGAGGAGGATGAAGGAAGGCATCAAGAAGGCGTGAGACCTTAGTTCTGGTTCTAGTCCTAGTTTTGGGAGATTTTCCCCTTCATGGTGGCTGAATATCCACATGCATTTACATGAAATGCTGTGAAGATTATTCTGTCATGGAGCCTGAACTGACATGTATAATCTTTTTTTTCTTTTTTTTTTTTTTGAGACAAAATCTCACTCTGTTGCCCAGGCTGGAGTGCAGTGGCATGATCTCAACTCACTGCAACATCCACCTCCCGGGTTCAAGGGACCCTCCTGCCTCGGCCTCCCAAGTGGCTGAGACTACAGGCGTGCACCACCACACCTGGCTAATTTTTGCATTTTCAGTAAAGACGGGGTTTCACCATGTTGGCCAGGCTGGTCTCGAACTCCTGACCTCAGGTGATCCGCCCACCTTGGTCTCCCAAAGTGTGGGGATTACAGGCGTGAGCCACCATGCCCGGCCAGGCACTTATAATCTTCAGCTACCCACTACAATGGAACGGATTTCAAAACCTGGAGAAGCTACACCAGTAAAACCAAAGGCCTTTATCAGAGAAAGGTGTGGTTGGCTGCAAAAACAGGCTCAAGACCTCTCCCATCCCAGGATGTACATCCCTTTGCAATTTGACTCTCCCATGCTTCTTTTCTAGAAGTCTGTTTCTCTGCCATTTTGTTATTATTTTTTGAGACAGAGTCTCGCTCTGTCACCCAGTGGAGTGCAGTGATGCGATCATGGCTCACTACAACCTCTGTCTCCTGGGCTCAAACGATCCTCCTGTCTCAGTCTCCCGAGTAGCTGGGACTACAGGCATGCATCACCATGCCTGCCTAATTTTTTATTTTTTGTAGAGTTGGAGTTTCACCATGTTGTCCAGGCTCGTCTCAAACTCCTGGACTCAAGCAATTTGCCTGCCTTGGCCTCCCAAAGTGTTGGGATTACAGCTGTAAACCACGGCGCCAGGCCGTTCTCTGCCCCTTAATCTGGCCCTGGCTGTGTGACTTGCTTTGGTCAATGGGACATCAGCAGATGGGATGCAAACAGAGGCTTGAGAAGAGTTTGATCATCTGTGCCTCCTGCTTCTAGAACCTCATCACCATGGGAGCCGGCCTGGGGTGCTTCCTATAGGGTATGAGGCCACGAGGAGAGAGACCCTGATGTCCCAGACAAGGCCTCAGACACACAGCCATCCGGCCCTTGCTGAGCCAGTCCAGCCAACACACAGAAATGTAAGAGAGACTAAATATTCCATTCCATTCCAGCCATTCCATTCCATTCCATCCCAGCCATTCCATTCCATTCCACTGGAGTCCTTCCCCTTCCCCTTCCCCTTCCTCTTCCCCTTCCAGCCCAGGCTGGAGTGCAATGGCATGATATCGGGTCACTGCAGCCTCCACCTCCCAGGTTCAAGTGATTCTCCTACCTCAGCCTCCCGAGTAGCTGGGACTACAGATGTGCACCACTATGCCTGGATAATTTTTGTATGTTTAGTGCAGACAGGGTTTCACCATGTTGGCCAGGCTGGTCTCAAACCCCTGACCTCAGGTGATCCACCCACCTCGGCCTCCCAAAGTGCTGGGATTGCAGGCATGAGCTACCACACCCGGCCTCATTTCAGGGTACGTTTAAATACAGCAATAGATGACTGATACTAAAATATACATGTGACTTAACCATGAATGTTTATTCGACTTTTTTTCTTTTTCTTTTTTTTTTGAGACGGGGTCTGGCTCTGTTGCCCAGGCTGGAGTGCAGTGGTGTGATCTTGGCTCACTGCAAGCCCCGCCTCCTGGGTTCACACCAGTCTCCTGTCTCAGCCTTCCGAGTAGCTGGGACTACCGGCACCCGCCACCATGCCCGCCTAATTTTTTTTGTATTTTTAGTGGAGACTGGGTTTCACCATGTTAGCCAGGATGGTCTCCATCTCCTGACATTGTGATCCACCGGCCTCTGCCTCCCAAAGTGCTGGGATTATAGGCATGAGCCACCGCACCCAGCCAACCATTTTGTGTTATAATAGCAACACAAAAAGACTGTGGCACAGCTTGGGGTTCATTGTTTAGCATAATTTATAAGTTCTGAGGGGTCGTCTGAAAATCTTTAACAGCTCTGTTGTTATAAGGATAGTGAAGCTAAACATTTAAAAATCTGATTGTCAGCCGAGGACGGTGGCTCAGACCTCTAATCCCAGCATTTTGGGAGGCTAAGGTGGTCAGATCACTTAAGCTCAGGAGTTCAAGACCAGCCTGAACAACAGGGTGAAACCCCGTCTCTATTAAAAATACAAAAACCAGCCAGGCGTGGTGGCGGGCGCCTGTAATCCCAGCTACTCAGAAGGCTGAGGCAGGAGAATTGCTTGAACCCGGGAGGTGGAAGTTGCAGTGAACTGAGATCGTACCACTGCACGCCAGTCTGGGCGACAGCGAGACTCTGTCTCAAGAAAAGAAAAAAATTGGCCTGGTGCGGTGGCTCATGTCTATAATCCTAGCACTTTGGGAGGCCAAGGCGGGCAGATTGCCTGAGCTCAGGAGTTTGAGACCAGCCTGGGCAACAGGGTGAAACCCCGTCTCTACTAAAATACAAAAAATTAGCTGGGCGTGACGGTGTGCGCCTGATTCCAGCCACTCAGGAGGCTGATACAGGAGAATCACTTGAACCCAGGAGGCGAAGGTTGCAGTGAGCTGAGATCGTACCACTGCACTCCAGCCTGGCAAGACTCAAAAAAAAAAAAAAAAAAAAGATAAGACAGAAAGAAAGAGAAAAAGAAAGAGGGATGGAAGGAAGGAAGGAAGAAAGTGAAAGAAAGGGATGGAAGGAAGGAAGGAAGGAAAGAAAGAAAGAGAAAAAGAAAGAAAAAGAAAAAGAAAGAAAGAAAGAAAGAAAGAAAGAAAGAAAGAAAGAAAGAAAGAAAGAAAGAAAGAAAGAAAGAAAGAAAGAAAGAAAGAAAGAAAAAATTAAAACCAGGGAGATGTTTCTTCTATGTAGCAAATGCTATCACAAGAAATAAGGAGCAATTGAGCACCGGCTCTCAGGAGCCTGCCGGCAGCTGGTACCAATCCGTATCGCTTCATGAAGTCTACAGTAGGAAGTTTTGTGAATAAGGAAGCATATTTTTGTTCAAATGAAACCACATCTCCAACAAAGGCACGTGGGAACCACACATCTAGCCCAACAGCTGGTGAGGAAGGAAACTCGGCCCCTGGGGACACTGATCACATCTCACTCTCACCCCTTTCATCTTCCCAGGTTCTTCTTCTTCTTCTTCTTCTTCTTTTTATTTTCTTTTAGAGACAGAGTCTTGCTCTGTCACCCAGGCTGGAGTGCAGTGGTGCCATCTTGGCTCACTGCAACCTCTGCCTCCTAGGTTCAAGCAACTGTCCTGCCTCAGCCTCCTGAGTAGCTGGGATTACAGGCGCCCACCACTACGCCCGGCTAATTTTTGTATTTTTAGTAGAGACGGGGTTTCACCATGTTGGCCAGGCTGGTCTCAAACTCCTGACTTCAGGTGATCTGCCCCCCTTGGCCTCCCAAATTGCTGGGATTACAGGTGTGAGCCACCGTGCCTGGCCTCATCTTCCCAGTTTGTATGTGGAGCCTGTGGCTTGGGGTATTTTTAAAAATTCTCTGTGACCAGGTAAGACACAGGCAGAACATATCTGAGCTCTGAAAACATCCCAGGCTAAAATTGAGTGGGCAGGAGTTTGAGGCCTGTCAGGTCAGAAACGAGACTAAGATTCCACAGCAGACCTGTGCTCACAGCTGAATTGTGCTGACCTGAAATACTGTGCCCGCTTCTCTCCATTCAACTTGTCTTGGATTGACTTAGAACCACTGCAGAGGAGAAGCATTCTCCTGCTTCAGCCTCCTGAAGTGCTGAGATTACAAGCGTGTACCTTTCCACTTTTCATGCTTTCAGTATTTTCCCATCCCTTGATTAAACATTTGGGTTTAAATTATTTTTTTTGTTGTTGTTTCTTTTTGAGACATTTTTTTGTTCAGACTCTCATCTGAAGCTGGAGCTTCTGCTAAGCATCTGTTTGCATGGGAATGGAAGGGACATGAGCATCCACAGTTGTGGCGAAAAGATCCCTGGGTGTGACAAAGGAGGAGCTGGGCCAAGGAGACCCACCCACTGTGTCCCTGGACCTCCCAAGGAATCCCAGGAGCCTCGAAGCATAAACCACATCTTCACTGTCTTAGAAACGCTGCTGTCCTTACTTCATTTTACTCATGCTAAAGGCTCTGTTTTTCCTTTTTCTAGATCTTTCTCTCTCTCTCTCTCTCTCCTGTTCTTTCTTTCTCAGACGGATTTTCACTGTCGCCCAGGCTGGAGTGCAATGGCACAGTATCAGCTCACAGCAAACTCTGCCTCCTGGGTTCAAGCAATTTTCCTGTCTCAGCCTCCCAAGTAGCTGGGATTACAGGTGTGAGCCACCACATCTGGCTAATTTTTGTATTTTTAGTAGAGATGGGGTGTCACCATGTTGGCTAGGCTGGTCTCAAACTCCTGACCTCAGCTGATCTGCCTGCTTCCCAAAGTACTGGGATTACAGGCCTGAGCCACTGGACGCAGCCAGATCTTTGTTTCTTTTTTTTTTTTTTTTGAAACGGAGTCTCGCTCTGTAGCCCAGGCTGGAGTGCAGTGGCTGGATCTCAGCTCACTGCAAGCTCCGCCTCCCGGGTTCACGCCATTCTCCGGCCTCAGCCTCCCGAGTAGCTGGGACTACAGGCGCTGCCACCTCGCCCGGCTATTTTTTGTATTTCTTAGTAGAGACGGGGTTTCACCGTGTTAGCCAGGATGGTCTCGATCTCCTGACCTCGTGATCTGCCCATCTCGGCCTCCCAAAGTGCTGGGATTACAGGCTTGAGCCACCGCGCCCGGCCCAGATCTTTGTTTCTTAACACAGAATATTGTTTTTCTTTTGGATTATGATTATTATTTCTTGGAGCCAGGGTCTCGCTCTGTCACTCAGGCTGGAGTGCAGTGGTGCAGTCATGGCTCACTCCAGCCTTTATCTCCTGGGCCCAGGTGATCCTCCAACCTCAGCCTCCCAAGTAGCTGGGATTATAAGTGCATGCCACCATGTCTGGCTAATTTTTTATTTATAAGTATTTTTTGTAGAGATAGGGTCTCGCTCTGTTGCCCAGGCTGGTCTCAAATTCCTGGGCTCAAGCAATCCTCCTGCTTCAGCCTCCCAAAGTGCTGAGATTACAAGTGTGAACCTTTCCACTTTTAATGCTTTCAGTATTTTCCCATCCCTTGATTAAACATTTGGGTTTAAATTATTTTTGTTGTTGTTGTTTCTTTTTGAGACAGAGTCTTGCTCTGTTGCCCAGGCTAGAGTGCAGTGGCATGATCTCGGCTCACTGCAACCTCCACCTCCTGGGTTCAAGCGATTCTCATGCCTCAGCCTCCCGAGTAGCTGGGATTACAGTCACCTGCCACCATGCCCAGCTAATTTTTTGTATTTTTAGTAGAGACAGGGTTTCACCATGTTGGCCAGGCTAGTCTCGAATTCCTGACCTCAAGTGATCCGCCTACCTTGGCCTCCCAGAGTGCTGGGATTACAGGTGTGAGCCACTGCACCTAGCCTAAATTTTTTTTTTTTTTTAAATCTTAACCTGTTAACATTTTTCCTCTAATTAATGCTGGTTTTCTTTCATTGAGGAGGGAGGAGAAGCAAGAATGGGGTCAACTACTCTCATCCACTGAAGAGGGATTTTTTTTCTAGCATACACTGTCATAGTAATGTACCTACATTGTAAAACATGTAGAAATGACAGAAAAGTCCAAAAAAGCAGTAAAGTATGTCCAAAAATGAAAACACTGCTCAATTTGTGAGTCAAGTAATAATTTCAATTTTATATTCAAAATGTTTTACTCATTTCAAATTCAGGTTCTAATTCAACTATAATTAAAATAATATTTTGTCCACAAATATGTGTATTTAATAACGTCTTAGTCCCCAGTATTTACTGAATTAGAAGGTTCTCTCTCTCTTTTCTTTTTTTTCCTTTTTTTCTTTTTTGAGACAACGTCTCTCTCTGTCACCCAGGCTGGAGTGCAGTGGCACCATTACAGCTCACTGCAGCCTCGACCTCCTGGGCTTATGCGATCCTCCCACCTCAGCCTCCTGAGTAGCTGGGATCACACGCATGCACCACCATTTTTTGTATTTTTTGCAAAGATGAAGTCTCACCATGTTGCTCAGGCTGGTCTTGAACTCTGGTATTCAACCAGTTCACCTGCCTCGGCCTCCCAAAGTGTTGGAGTTACAGTCATGAACCCCTGCACCCTGCCAAGACTCCGTTTTCTAGATATTTGAGTAAAATAATGGTTCTTCTGCAAATGAGGCTCCATTGAGGTTAATTTGTGCCCTGGTCCTTATTTATTTATTTATTTGATAAAACAAAAGAAAGGTGTCAAATGATAACCTGCTAGATACTTGTTTTTGTTTTTGAGACAGAATCTCACTCTGTAGCCCAAGCTGGAGTGCTGTGGCACCATCTCAGCTCACCGCAACCTCCACCTCCCAGGCTCAAGATTCTCATGCCTCAGCCACCCGTGTAGCTGGGACTACAGGTGCACACGACCATGCCCAGCTAATTTTTTGTATTTTAGTGGAGACAGGGTTTTACCATGTTGGCCAGGATGGTCTTGAACTCCTGAGCTCAGGCGATCTGCCCGCCTCAGCCTCCCAAAGTGCTGGGATTACAGGCGTGATCCACCATGCCCAGCCTTGTTTGTTTTTTTGAGACAGGGTCTTGCTCTGTCACCCAGGCTGGAGTGCAGTGGTGCCAACTCAGCTCCCTGCAGCCTCAGCCTCCCGGGTCCAAGCAATTCTCTTGCCTCAGCCTCCCGGGTAGCTGGGATTACAGGCACGCACAGCCACGCCCAGCTAATTTTTGTATTTTTAGTAGAGACAGGGTTTCACCATGTTGGCCAGGCTGGTCTTGAACTCCTGACCTCAAGTGATCCGCCTGCCTCGGCCTCCCAAAGTGCTGGGATTACAGGTGTGAGCTACCACGCTTGGCCAATTCTTGATTCTAAAAGCATCATGGTACCCACCAGAATCTTCCATGGGTTCAGTTTTCACACTGATGGGGCCGCAGCTGCAAGGAGAAGGGAACCCTGGTCAGGATGGGCAGGGTGAGGACCAGGCAGAGCCGCCTGGACATGCTAAGCTCAAATGCCCTGGACCTCCGTGGCACCAAATCCCCCTCCTCCCATCAACCAAATGCAACACTGCCTCCACTCTAATATTAACGTTCTTAATAAGTTGTTCCAAAATTAAACGTGTCTACTGAAAATAGTCTTCTAATTCCAAAGGTCTTTCTGGACAAAGAATAGGATAGAAAATAAGGAAGAGAAGAAGCACATTAACCCTATACACTGCACCTAAATGCTGTAAGGAGGCCTGTCATCCAAAAACGAACACTGTGCATAGTTGTGGATTTTAGTTGCTATGATTTATCTTTTACCTTTCATTTGGTGATACGATGGATCTCTCAGCATCTGTTACCATCCCAGGGCCACCTGTGGAGGAATAAAAAGACATACACCAGCCCCTTTTAGCACCTTGGAAAATGACTAACATCCAAAGGCACAGAAATTGGCAGCAAACACACAGAAAACGGAACTCCCAGATCGAAGCCATCGTGGAAAAGTCATTGAGAGAGAAACCGACTCAAAGCAGCCGCTGTGTTCCGGGGCCATTTGTGTGGGCGAGATGGGGATTACCGGAGTGTTTTGGGGCCAGAGCATGGGCATGGGGCCGAGCCTCAGCTCACCAGCTGGGCTGCCTCCAGCAACTCACTAAACCTCCCTCGGCCTCCACTTCCTTGTGAACACGGTGGTTGTGGGAGGATTCATGAATATATGCAAAATGACTACAACAGTGCCTGTACATTGTAAGCACTAAGTTACAGCTGCTATGACACAAGCTTCCCCTTGATCTGTGGTTTCGCTTTCCTCAGTTTGTTCCCCAAGGTCAACCAAGGTCTCCAAAGAGTAAACGGAAAATTCCAGAAATAAACAATTCAGAAGTTTGAAATTACACGTTGTTCTGAGCAGCGTGATGAAGTGTGGTGCCGTCCTGCCTGGACGTGACTCATCCCTTTGTCCTGCGATCCACGCTGTCTACACTACTTGCCCATTAGTCACTGAGTAGCTGGCTCTGTTATCAGACTGATGGTCCTGGGAAGGCTGGGGTGCTTGTGCTCAAGTCACCTTTATTTGACTTCATAATGGCCCCAAAGTGCAAGATTAGTAATGAAGGCATATTGTTATAATTGTTCTATTTTATCTTTAGTTATTGCTGTTAATCTCCTACTGTGCTTGATTTATTGATTTACTGAGATGGATCTTGCTCTGTTGCCTGGGCTGGAGTGCAGTGGCACGATGTCGGCTCACTGCAACCTCCACCTCCCAGGTTTAAGCAATTCTCCCGCTTCAGCCTCCCGAGTAGCTGGGACTACAGGCGCACACCACCTAATTTTTTTATTTTTAGTAGAGACAGGGTTTCACCATGTTGGCCAGGCTGGTCTCAAACTCCTGACCTCAGGTAATCCACCCACCTTGGCCTCCCAAAGTGCTGGGATTACAGGCATGAGCCACCACGCCCAGCCTGTGTTTGATTTATAAATTAAACTTTCTCATAGGTATGTATGGATAGGGAAAAACAGTATAGGTAGGGTTCTGTACTACCCATGGGTCTGGGCATCCACTGGGGGTCTTGAAGCATATGCCCCAAGGATAAGGGGGGACCACTGTATTATTGTTTTTCTGTGATGGTGATACAAGTCAGTTGGGACAACAGTCCATGGCCACCTGCCACCCTGCCCCCTCACTTCTCCTTTAATGTGAGTTAGAGGATGACAGGAACTCACCATCACTCCCGAAACAGACTTCACACTGTGTTTAGTCCCCGGCTAAGAAGAACTGGAGCATGTCATACACCCAGCAGGTGCCTTGTGAACTGTGCCACCCCCGACCCCTGCCATCTCCTTACTCCACCTAGGCAGTCTCAGCAAGACATTCTCTTTTATTCTTATTTATTTATTTATTTTTGAGACACAGTCTCATTTTCTCACCCAAGCTAGAGTGCACTGGCACAATCTCAGCTCACTGCAAACTCCACATCTCGGGTTCAAGCGATTCTCCTGCCTCAGCCTCCTGAGTAACTGGGATAACAGGTACCCGCCACCACGCCTGGCTAACTTTGGTAATTTTAGTAGAGACGGGGTTTTACCATGTTGACCAGGCTGGTCTTGAACTCCTGACCTCAAGTGATCTGCCCACCTCTGCCTCCCAAAGTGCTGGGATTACAGGTGTGAGTCACTGCGCCCAGCCAGTTTTTTTTTTTTTAAATAGCTACAAATGTATTTTTCTTTCTTTTTTTTTTTTTTTTAATTTATTTCTTCTAAAAAAAAAAGGGCAGGGGGAGGAGGGAGATACACATACAGAACGTGCAGGTTTGTTACCTAAGCTCATGTGTGCCACAGTGGCTTGCTGCACCTATTGGCCCGTCCTCTAAGTTCCCTCCCCTCATCCGAATTCAAGTTTTAATGAAGAAGAAGTGGTTCAGCAGCTCAGAAGAGCCACCAAACCTGAGAAGCTGTCACTTACCCAGCTGACTCTCTGGTCCGAGGAAGGGTCTGCAAGAAAAGCAACGCTGTTACCCAGTATGGACATATGAAAAAAGGATGACACATCTGAACAGTCAGCTCTGAATCGCAACAGGCGGAATGCACGAGTGAATTAAAATTACGCGATCAGTTTCATCTTTAAATGAACTGAGGGGGTGGGGGTGCAGAGCGTGTCACCTATTTATGATGAATGAAATCCCTGCTTTGTTCTCCAAAATCCATTTCAGGGTTTCAAGGTTGTAGTTCTCAGGGTGTTGAAAGGCAACGCCTTCCGGAAGCCCCTGCACTGCCACAGCTGACTGGTCTCGCAGCATCTTCTCATAGGGAACAGGCACCATCACCGTCATCCCTAAGGCTTTACCTACAAGAAGATGCAAACGTCTTTAGATGGGGTGAACCTAATGTTCCACCAGTGGTTTTTTTAGGTTTGTTTTTTTTTTTTTGTAGAGACGGCGTCTCACTCTGCCACCCAGGCTGGAGTGCAATGGTGAGATCTCGGCTCATCACAACCTCCACCTCCCGGATTCAAACAATTCTCCTGCCTCAGCCTCCCCAGTAGCTGGGACTATAGGCACATACTGCCACACCCAGCTAATTTCTTTGGTATTTTAGTAGAGATGGGGATTTCACCATGTTGCCCCAGACTGGTCTCAAACTGCTGAGCTCAGGCAGTCCACCCACCTTAGCCTCCCAAAGTGCTAGGATTACAGGTGTAAGCCACTGAGCCCAGCCTAGTTTGTTGTTCTTGTTGTTGTTTTTTTAATTAAGAGACAGGGTTTCGACTGGGCTCACTGCAACCTCTGACTCCTGGGTTCAAGCAATTCTCCTGCCTCTGACTCCTGAGTAGCGGGGATTACAGCTGCCTGCCACCGTGCCCGACTAATTTTTATATTTTTAGTAGAGACGGAGTTTCACTATGTTGGCCAGGCTGGTCTCGAACTCTTGATCTCAGGTGATCCACCCACCTCAGCCTCCCAAGTAGTTGGTGTGAGTCACCACACCCAGCCTGTTATCTAGCTTTTTAAAACACTGCAAAGGATTTTTGAAAATTATTTTTATTTTATTTTGTAGAGACAGGGTCTTACTATGCTGCTCAGTCTGGTCTCAAACTCCTGGGCTCAAATGATCCTCCCACCTTAGCCTCCCAAGTAGCTGGAATTATAGGCTCAAGCCACCATGCCCAGTATGTGTGTGTGTGTTTTTTTTTTTAAATTCCCATCTTCATGCCTATGGAAAGACATGGGTAGGTGGAGCAACAACTGAGGGGTGAGGGAGGTGACTGAGCCAACACTGACTATGTTTAACAATACACTGGCCTTGATGTGAGGGCTCTCTAAAATGGAATCAAGGAAGAAAGACTGATCAATACAGAAGTTTCCACAGAGCAGAAGATCCAAGATCCACATCATCTTCTATAAGAACACTTAATCTGGTAATCAAGAACTGGTGGCCAGGCGCGGTGGCTCACACCTGTAATCCCAGCAATTTGGGAGGCCAAGGCAGGAGGATCACCTGGGGTCAGGAGTTCGAAACCAACCTGGCCAACAGGGCAAAACCCCGTCTCTACTAAAAATACAAAAATTAGCTGGGCGTGGTGGTGGGCACCTGTAATCCCAGCTACTCAGGAGGCTGGGATGGGAGAATTGCTTGAACCCAGGAGGCAGAGTTTGCAGTGAGCTGAGATTGCACCATCGCACTTCAGCCTGGGTGACATAGCAAAACTCCTTCTCAGAAAAAAAAAAAAACAAAAAACCCATATGCTTATCCTTGGTTGATAAGCATATGGGTTTTGAAATGTTCAAAACATTGTAAATAGTCATGGCAATAAGATTGTCTGTGACACTGTTCTACTCCTGGGTGAACCACTTAGAGAATTCATGCTTGGCTGGGCGCGGTGGCTCATGCCTACAATCCTAGCACTTTGGGAGGCCAAGGCGGGCGGATCACATGGTCAGGAGTTCGAGACCAGCCTGGCCAACATGGTGAAACCCCATCTCTACTAAAAATACAAAAATTAGCTGGGTGTGGTGGTGGGCGCCTGTAATCCCAGCTACTTGAGAAGCTGAGGCAGGAGAATTGCTTGAACCCAGGAGGCAGAAGTTGCAGTGAGCCAAGATTGCACCATTACACTCCAGCCTGGGTGGCAGAGCAAGACTCCGTCTAAAAAAAAAAAAAAAAAGAATTCATGCTTAAAGTGAACGTTACCATAACAAAAGCAGAAATAGTCCTCCACTGCCTTCCTGAGTATTTCCGTTTCTCCGGAGTGGACCTGCATCCCGTTCACAGGGCAGGGAGGTTTCACCTCACGTAGCCCCTCTGCAACGCCTGTAAATGGATGATTGGCATTAGGTCAGTATCTAAGCATTTGTGCTATACACTTCCGTACTTTGTTTCTGGTATTGAAAGAAAAAAGGGGAAAAAAGTGAATAAATATAAAACAAGATCTTTTAAAGAAAGACAATAAAAAATTGTATTTATGATAAACAGGTTAAAGAACTATAAAAAATCAACATATAAAGAAATAGTACTAGTTTAAGGAAATTATTATTTTTAGAGACAGGGTCTCACTCTGCTGCCCAGGCTGGAGTGCAGTGGAATGATCAAAGCTCCCTGCAGCCTCAAATTTCTGGGCTCAAGCAATCCTCCCACCTCTGCCTCCCAAGTAGCTAGGCTTACAGGAGTGCACCATCACACCTGGTTAACTTTTTTCTTTTTTTTTTTTTTTTGAGATGGAGTCTCGCTCTGTCGCCCAGGCTGGAGTGCAGTGGCCGGATCTCGGCTCACTGTAAGCTCCACCTCCCGGGTTTACGCCATTCTCCTGCCTCAGCCGCCCGAGTAGCTGGTACTACAGGCACCTGCCACCTCGCCCGGCTAGTTTTTTGTATTTTTTAGTAGAGACGGGGTTTCATTGGGTTAGCCAGGATGGTCTCGATCTCCTGACCTTGTGATCCACCCGTCTCAGCCTCCCAAAGTTCTGGGATTACAGACTTGAGCCACCACGCCCGGCCCACACCTGGTTAACTTTTAAAATTTTTTTCAAGATGGGATCTCACTATGTTGCCCAGGCTAGGCTCTAACTCCTGGCCTCAAGCGATCCTCCCATCTCAGCCTCCCAAAGTGTTGGGATTACAGGTGTCAGGCACTACACTCTGCCAGAAATTATCTTTATAACAGAAATTTGATTTGCTGTACTGTTGAAAAGTGACAATAATTGTATAGGAAGACTATACCCCTGAACCCATTCAAGACCAGCCCTGGAATCAATTGCGCCTCCAAAAGTTTTAAAACTGATTGTTTTAATCAGTCTAGTCAGGAGAGAGAAACCACACAGTAATTTGAAGACAGAAAAGTTTTTTTGTTTTGTTTTGTTTTTTGTATCAATGTAAGTGGCACAAGTATAGTTTTCTTTTCTTTTTTTTCTTTTTTTTTTTTTTTTTTGAGACAAGAGTCTCGCTCTGTCACCCAGGCTGGAGTGCAGTGGCACAATCTCAGCTCATTGCAAGCTCCGCCTCCCGGGTTCACGCGATTCTCCTGCCTCAGCCTCCCGAGTAGCTGGGACTATAGGCACCTGCCACCACACCTGGCTATTTTTTTCGTATTTTTTACTAGAGACGGGGTTTCACTGTGTCAGCCAGGATGGTCTCAATCTCCTGGCGTCGTGATCCACCCGCTTCAGCCTCCCAAATTGTTGGGATTAACAGGTGTGAGCCACCGCGCCCAGCCAAGTATAGTTTTCTTACATGGATATACTGTGTCATTGGTGAAGTCTGGAGTTTTAGTGTACTCATCACCCAAATAATGTACATTGTACCCATGAAGTAATTTATCATCCCTTACCCGCCTCCTGCCTCCCACCCCTCTGAGTCTCCAATGTCTCTTATTTTACACTCTATGACCATGTTTTTGTTTGTTTGTTTGTTTTGAGACAGAGTCTCACTCTGTCGCCCAGGCTGGAGTGCAGTGGCACAATCTCAGCTCACAGTAACCTCTGCCTCTTGGGTTCGGGAGATTCTCGTGCCTCAGCCTCCCTAGTAACTGGGATTACAGGCGCCCGCCACTACACCAGGCTCATTTTTGCATTTTTAGTAGAGACAGAGTTACATCATGTTGGCCAGGCTGGTCCTTGAACTCCCGGCCTCAAGTGATCTCCCCACCTCGGTTTCCCAAAGTGCTGGGATTACAGGCGTGAGCCACCACGCCCAGCCCCACACTGTATGTCGATGTGTACCTATTATTTAGCCCCTCTTATAAGTAAGGACACGTAGCATTTGCCTTTTTAAGTTAATTGATAAAGACAATAGCCCCCAATCCATGTTGCTGCAAAAGACATCATTCTTTTTTTTTGAGAGAGAGTCTCTTACTGTCACCTAAGCTGGAGTGCAGTGGCGTGATCTCGGCTCACTGCAACCTCTCCCTCCCGGGTTCAAGTGATTCTCTTGCCTCAGCCACCCGAGTAGCTGTGATTACAGGCATGTGCCACCATGCCCGGCTAATTTTTGTATTTTTAGTAGAGATGAGGTTTCACCGTGTTGGCCAGGCTGGTCTAGAACTCCTGATCTCAAGTGATCCATGGCCTCGGCCTCCCAAAGTGCTTGGACTATAGGCGTGAGCTACCGCGCCTGGCCATTTCATTCTTTTTTATGGCTCAGTAGTATCCCATTGCGTATGTACCACATTTTCTTTATCCAATCATCTGGTGATGATGGATGCTTAGCTTGATTAGATATCTTTGCTACTGTGAATAGTGCTGTGATGAACATTCAAGGCAGGTGTCTCTTTGATAGAATGATTTCTTTTCCTTTGGGTAGATGCCAAGTAGTGGGCTTGCTGGATTGAATGGGGGTTTATGTTTAGTTCTCTAAGAAACCTCCATACTGTTTTCCATAGAGGTTGTACTAATTTACACCAACAGGTGAAGCTTCCTAGTAATCGTCAACTGGTAACATGGGATTAGCTGCTAGAGGGAGCGAGGACTCTAAAGAGAACTATAAGCAGCAGGTTGCAGGAGCATCTGTAACTGCTGGACTGAGGCAGGGGACCCAGGAGGGAGCAAATCCAGGAATGGGGTGGCCCCCCAGGGCCGAGATTCAGACCTTATTAAACAGAATTTGGCCATGGTCCACTGCATAGTGGGAAAGCTTATGGGGGTACCCATGTGGTGGCTGGCAAGCAGGCGCCTGCTTTCTGGGGGTGCTGGCGGAAATCACTAGAGAGTTGCCCTGTGGGTATCTGCAACACTTTCTGGGCATTATAAGGAAGATGCCCTCTAGTGTGCCAGTGGAACTCTCTGGAAGCTACCTGGATGGTGATGCCAAGATAATTTGCTGGGAAATCATGCTCTGGGGAACTGGTGGAACTCCCTGGGAAACTGCCTGTGGGTATGGTGTCACTGAAATTCACTGCAAAACCTCCTGGAATTTTCTTTCTTCCTTTTTCCTTTCCTTTCTTTCTTTTTTTTTTTTTTTTTTGTCTTGCTCTGTCACCCAGGCTAGAGTGCGGTGCCACGATCTTGGCTCACTGCAACCTCCACCTTCTGGGTTCAAGTGATTCTCCTGCCTCAGCCTCCCAAGTAGCTGGGATTACAGGTGCCCGCCACCACGCCCAGCTAATTTTTGTATTTTTAGTACAGATGGAGTTTTGCCATGTTGGCCAGGCTGGTCTCAAACTCCTGGCCTCAGGTGATCTGCCAGCCTCAGCTTACCAGAGTGCTGGAATTACAGGCGTGAGCCACCATACCTGGCTGATATATATATATTTAAAAATAATAGTAAAAAAGAAAAAAGGCCAATGTAAAAATGTATATATATATGTATTTTGTAGAGACAGGGTCTTGCCATGTTGGCCAGGCAGGTCTCAAACTCCTGGGCTCCAGTGATCCTCCCACTTCGGCCTCCGAAAATGCTGGGATTACATACGTGAGCCACTGCGCCTGGCCCCTTCTGGAATTTTCTGGGACTTTGATGAGACTTGCTGGGAAGCCAGCTGGAGTATCAGTGGAAGTGACTGGGAAGCTGTGTGTGGTAGGGGTGTCACTAAAACTCACTGGAATGAGTGCCACACTGGGTATCCCAAATGCTATTGGTCAGCACAGGCAGGTAAGAACTCAGTGCAACCTCCGCCTCCCGGGTTCAAGCGATTCTCCTGCCTCTCCCTCCCAAGTAGCTGGGATTACAGGCTCCCGCCACCACACCCGGCTAATTTTTGTATTTTTAGTAGAGACGGGGTTTTTCCATGTTGGCCAGGCTGGTTTCGAACTCCCTACTTCAAGTGATCTTCCCGCCTTGGCCTCCCAAAATGCTGGGACTACAGGCGTGAGCCCGGCCTCAAGTGGAATTTATTCCTCAGACACAAGGATGGTTCAACATATTTAAATCAATCAGTGTAATGTACCACATTGACAGAATAAAGGACAAAAGCCACATGATCATTTCAATTGCTGCAGAAAAAGCATTTGACAAGACTGAATATTCTTTCATGATAAAAGCACTCTACTGACTAGACGTGGAAGGAAATGACCAATGTAATAAAGGCCATTTATAAAAAGTCCATGGCTAATATCACTCAACAATGAAAGACTGATAGCCAAGATGAGAAATGACAAAGATGGGCCAGGTGTGGTGGCTCACCCCTGTCATCCCAGCACTTTGGAAGGCTGAGGCAGACAGATCACTTGAGGTCAGGAGTTCCAGACCTTGCTGGCCAATGTGGTCAAACCCCACCTCTACTTAAAAAATACAAAAATTAGCCAGGTGTGGTGGCGCACACCTGTAATCCCAGTTACTCAGGAGGCTGAGGCACAAGAATCACTTGAACCTGGGATCCAGAGGTTGCAGTGAGCAGAGATTGCGCCCCTGCACTCTGGCCTAGGCAACAGAGTGAGACTCTATCTCAAAGAAAAAAAAAAAAAAAAAGAAATGGCAAAGATTCCCTGTCTCCCCACTTCTGTTCAACACAGTATTAGAAGTCCTAGCCAGAGCAATTAAATTAGGTAAGAAAAAAAAAAAAAAAAAGGCCTCCAAATTGGAAAGAAAGAAGTAAAATTATCTCTGTTCATAGATGATACATGATTTTGTATGTAGAAAACCCTAAACATTCCACACAAAAATCTATTTGAACTCGAACAGATTCAGCAGAGTTGCAGGATACTATATCAACACACCAAATCAATTGCATTTCTATACAGTAACAATGAACAATCTGCAAAGGAAATAAAGAAAACAATTCCATTTACAAGAGCATCAGAAAGAATAAAATCCTTAAGGATAGACCTAATCAAGGAACTGAAAATCTGTATGCTAAAACAATAAAACTGCCAGGCCTCTGAGCCCAAGCTAAGCCATCATATCCCCTGTGACCTGCACGTATACATCCAGATCACCTGAAGCAACTGAAGATCCACAAAAGAAGTGAAAATAGCCTTCACTGATGACATTCCACCATTGTGATTTGTTTCTGCCCCACCCTAACTGATCAATGTACTTTGTAATCTCCCCAACCCTTAAGAAGGTTCTTTGTAATTCTCCCCACCCTTGACAATGTACTTTGTGAGATCTACCCCCTGCCCGCAAAACACTGCTCCTAACTCCACCGCCTGTCCCCAACCCTGTAAGAACTAATGATAATCCACCATCCTTTGCTGACTCTCTTTTTGGACTCAGCCCACCTGCACCCAGGTGAAATAAACAGCCATGTTGCTCACACAAAGCCTGTTTGGTGGTTTCTTCACACGGACACGTGAGACAAAAACACTGCTGAAAAAAATTAAAAGAAGGGCACGGTGGCTCATGCCTGTAGTCCTATAATCCCAGCATTTTGGGAGGCTAAGGCAAGCAGATCACTTGAGTTTAGGAGTTCAAGCCCAGGCTAGGCAACATAGCAAAACCCCGTTTCTACTAAAAATACAAAAATTAGCTGGGTGTGGTGGTGCATGTCTGTAGTCCCAGCTACTTGGGAAGCTGAGGCAGTAGAATCGCTTGAACCTGGGTAGCAGAGATTGCAGTGAGCCGAGATCAAGCCACTGCAGCCTGGGCAACAGAGCAAGACTCCGTCTCTCAAAAAAAAAAAAAAAAAAAAAAAAAAAAAAAAAGAGAGAGAGAAGAAATTAAAGAAGACTGAAACAAATGGAAAGACATCTCATGTTCATGGATTGGCAGGCTTAATATTGCTAAGATATCTGTACTACCAAAAGCTATCTACAGAATTATTGCAATCCCCATCAAAATCTCAGGGGCATTTCTTGTACAAATTAAGAAATCCACTCTAAAATTTATATGGGGCCGGGCGCGGTGGCTTACGCCTGTAATCCCAGCACTTTGGGAGGCTGAGGCAGGAGGATCACGAGGGCAGGAGATTGAGACCATCCTGGTTAACATGGTGACACCCCATCTCTACTAAAAATACAAAAAAATTAGCTGGTCGTGGTGGCAGGCCTGTAGTCCCAGCTACTTGGGAGGCTGAGACAGGAGAATGGCGTGAACCTGGGAGGCGGAGCTTGCAGTGAGCCGGGATGGTGCCACTGCACTCCAGCCTGGGTGACACAGTGAGACTCCATCTCAAAAAAAAAAAAAAAAAAAAAACTCATATGGCACACCAAGGGCCTCTGAATAATGGAAACAATCTTGAAATAGAGCAAATTTGGAGGTCTCATACTTCCTGATTTCAAAACATAAAGTAATCAAAACAGGGTGATACTGGTACAAAGACAAATAGAACTATGGAATAGAGAGCCCAGAAATAAACCCTTGATTAAAATACTTAGCATGCATGCCAGGTGCAGATCTCAGCTACTTGGGAGGCCAAGATGGGAGAGTCACTTGAGCCCAGGAATTTATGACCGGCCTGGGCAATATAGCAAAACCCTGTCTCAAAAAAAAAAAAAAGCCGGGCGCAGTGGCTCACGCCTGTAATCCCAGCACTTTGGGAGCCAGAGGTGGGCGGATCACCTGAGGTCAGGAGTCTAAGACCAGCCTGGACAGCATGACGAAACCCTGTCTCTACTAAAAAATACAAAAATTAGCTGGGTGTGTTGGCAGGCACCTGTAGTCTCAGCTATTTGGGAGGCTGAGGCAGGAGAATGGCTTGAACCCAGGAGGTGGAGGGTGCAGTGAGCCGGGGATCACGCCACTGCACTCCAGCCTGGCCGAAAGGGCAAAACTCTGTCTCAAAAAAACAAAAACAAAAACGAAAAACCTGCGGCCATAAAAAAGAAAGAAATCATATCCTTTGAAGTAATGTGGATGCAGCTGGAGGCCATTATCCTATGTAAATTAACGCAGGAATAGAAAACTGAATGCCACATGTTCTCACTTATAAGTGGGAGCCTAACCTTGGGTACACATGGACATAAAGATTGGAACAATAGACACTGGAGACTCCTAGAGGAAAGAGGTAAGTGGGGGCAAGGGTTGCAAAATGAACTATGGGGTGCCATGCTCACTACCGCACCCCAAACCACAGCATCACGGAATATACCCATGTAACAAATCTGTACACGTACCCCCCGAATCTAAACTAAAAGTTGACGTTATTGAAAGAAAAGAAAATATAAAAAGATTATCACACCAATTTCAGAACAGGTTCATTACAAGATGAATACTAAAGAGAATATTTGCGACAACGAAATTAACATGCAACTACAAATCTTACAAAAATCTACAAGTAAATTTCAATGATTAGAAATTCAACTGGCATCTGATGTTAATGAATTGGGAATACCCTTCTTGTGTAGCAACTACACACTGACTGTATTCTTTAAAGATGGCTTCATTTTTAAATCTATCTTCTTGATAGTGGAGACCTTAATTTGGGAACTTGGAAATAAATTTGAATCAATCTATCACTCAATTCCCCCCTCTCTTTATCCTCTTTATCTATCTATTCTATCATCTATCTATCTATCTATCTATCTATCTATCTACCTCCTCCTGAGGCAGGAGAATGGCTTGAACCCAGGAGGGGGAGCTTGCAGTGAGCTGAGATCGCGCCACTGCACTCCAGCCTGGGCGACAGAGCGAGACTCCGTCTCAAAAAAAAATAAAAAAATAAAAAAATAAAAATAAAAAAAGGAAAAAAGGAGTAATTGTATAATGGTTATTAACAGGCATTAACACACAACAAGCTCTGGAAAAGCTTTTCCCCTTCCTTTGGAAAGGACTAAAGTAACAGTATTTTGTAAAATGTGTGCTTATTTTAGGAATTAAAGATAATTTGTTCTATGTCCTTGAAATTTATTCTAAGAAACCAGAGTACTGGCCGGGCACGGTGGCTCAAGCCTGTAATCCCAGCACTTTGGGAGGCCGAGACGGGTGGATCACGAGGTCAGGAGATCGAGACCATCCTGGCTAACACGGTGAAACCCCGTCTCTACTAAAAAAATACAAAAAACTAGCCGGGCGAGGTGGCGGGCGCCTGTAGTCCCAGCTACTCGGGAGGCTGAGGCAGGAGAATGGCGTGAACCCGGGAGGCGGAGCTTGCAGTGAGCTGAGATCCGGCCACTGCACTCCAGCCTGGACCACAGAGCCAGACTCCGTCTCAAAAAAAAAAAAAAAAAGAAAAGAAACCAGAGTACTGCTGAGGACCTAGCACAAAATAAAATGACAATTTGTCTTGGGCTCTGCAGTGTTAAGCAGTGTTTATTTGGTAAGCTGAATCCAAGAAGATGTGTTAGGATCCTTTCTAGGAGAATGCTTACGATATCTTAGAAGACTACGGAAGTCTTGCCTGCAATCCTTTGAGATTGGGAATACAAAGGATAAAATTACAACACCTACAGTATTTTGCAAAATCTTTCTGAAAATCCGTCCTGGCATTAACAAAAGCGCATCCTCTCTCGGTTCCGACGACAAACACGTCTGTTTCGTACACTGCGATGCAGGCCACTTCTGCCTTGGACTTGGCCAGTTCTTTACACTGAAACAGAAACAAAAGGGGATGTATTATCTACAAGGGCAGATCCAAGTTCGCGGTGCCTGGGAGGCCTGCTTTAAGAATACAAAATTAGGGCCGGGCGCGGTGGCTCACGCCTGTAATCCCAGCACTCTGGGAGGCTGAGGCGGGCGGATCACGAGGTCAGGAGATTGAGACCATCCTGGCTAAGACGGTGAAACCCTGTCTCTACTAAAAATACAAAAATTAGCCGGGCGTGCTGGTGGGTGCCTGTAGTCCCAGCTACTCAGGAGGCTGAGGCAGGAGAATGTCATGAACCCGGGAGGCAGAGCTTGCAGTGAGCCAAGATCGTGCCACTGCACCCCAGTCTGGGGGACAGAGTGAGACTCCGTCTCAAAAAAAAAAAAAAAAAAAGGACACAAAATTAGGTTGGGCGCGGTGGCTCACGCCTGTAATCTCAGCACTTTGGGAGGTAGAGGCAGGAGGATCACGGGGTCAGGAGATTGAGACCATCCTGGCTAACAAGGTGAAACCCCGTCTCTACTAAAAATACAAAAAAAATTAGCCGGGCGTGGTGGCGGGTGCCTGTAGTCCCAGCTATTTGGGAGGCTGAGGCGGGAGAATGGCGTGAACCCCGGAGGCGGAGCTTGCAGTGAACCGAGATGGCGCCACTGCACCCCAGTCTGGGGGACAGAGCGAGACTCCATCTCAAAAAAAAAAAAAAAATTTAAGTAGCAAAAGGAATATTTATTTATTTTATTTTTATTTTTATTTGTCTTTTGAGACAGAGACGGAGTCTTGCTCTGTCGCCCAGGCTGGAGTACAGTGGGGCGATCTTGGCTCACTGTAAGCTCCATCTCCCGGGGTCACACTATTCTCCCGCCTCAGCCTCCCAAATAGCTGGGACAACAGGTACCCACCACCAGGCCTGACTAATTTTTTTTTTTTTTTTTTTTTTTTTGAGACGGAGTCTCGCTCTGTCGCCCAGGCTGGAGTGCAGTGGCCGGATCTCAGCTCACTGCAAGCTCCGCCTCCCGGGTTCACGCCATTCTCCGGCCTCAGCCTCCCGAGTAGCTGGGACTACAGGCGCCCGCCACCTCGCCCGGCTAGTTTTTTGTATTTCTTAATAGAGACGGGGTTTCACCGTGTTAGCCAGGATGGTTTCGATCTCCTGACCTCGTGATCCGCCCGTCTCGGCCTCCCAAAGTGCTGGGATTACAGGCTTGAGCCACCGCGCCCGGCCTATTTTTTTTAATTTTTAGTAGAAATGGGGTTTCACCGTGTTAGTCAGGACGGTCTCGATCTCCTGACCTCATGATCCTCCCACCTTGCCTCCCAAAGTGCTGGGATTACAGGCGTGAGCCACCGCACCCAACCAGAATATTTATTTAGAATGAGAAAAATCACCGAGAAAGGAAACCAAAACAAATCAAGCAAACATCATAAACATCATAAAACCCAAAGAACATATTTTTATTGACTGCCTGACGTGGGTCTCCAATACGATTTTTCCCTACATTTTTGGCTGCAGACTTTCTGGTTACCTCTTCATATACACAGGCCTTGTATTTATTTATTTATTTATTTATTTATTTATTTATTTATCTATTTTTTTTATTTTTATTTTTTTTGAGACGGATTCTTGCTCTGTCACCCAGGTTGGAGTGCAGTGGCGCTATTTCAGCTCATTGAAACCTCTGCCTCAGCCTCCCACGTTAGCTGGGATTAAAGGTGCCTGCCACCACACCCAGCTAGTATTTTTGTATTTTTAGTAAAGACGGGGTTTCACCAAGTTGACCAAGCTGGTCTCAATTCCTGACCTCAGGTGATCAAGCCATCCTCCTCGGCCTCCCAAAGTGCTGGGATTATAGCCACCACACCCTGCCTCCTTTTCTTTATAATATTTTATTTACTGATAAGAAACACACACATAGAATTTATTGTTTTTTTTTTTTTAAAACAAGGTTGCACTCTGTTACCCAACCTGGATTGCAGTGGTGTGATCACAGGTCACTGCAGCCTCGACCTCCTTGGCTCAGATGATCCTCCCACCTCAGCCTCCCAAGCAGCTAACAATACAGGCATGCGCCCCCATGCCCAGCTAATTTTTGTATGTTTAGTAGAGATGGGGTTTCACCATGTTGACCAGGCTGGTCTCAAACTCCCGAGCTCGTGATCTGCCTGCCTCGGCCTCCCAAAGTGCTGGGATTACAGGCATGAGCCACCACACCCAGCCTAAAAATTTTTTTAGTAGAGACAAGGTCTTGCTATGTTACCCAGGCTGGTCTCAAAACTCCTGAGCTCAAGCGATCCTCTGGCCTCAGCCTCACAAAGTGGTGAGATTACATGAGATTACAGGTGTGAGTCACCCTGCCTACCCCTAATGCTTTCTTTTAAAATTAATTCCAACTTGCATGGTTTGTTGTTGTTGTTGTTGTTGTTGTTGTTTTTTAGAGTCAGGGTCTTGTGTTGTGTCGGCTGGAGTGCAGTGTGTCATGCTAGCTCACTGCAGACTTGAACTCCTGGGCCCGAGCAATCTTTCCACCTCAGCACCCCAACTAGCTGGAACTATGGCACCATCCCCTCTAGCTAACTTTTAAAAAATAGTCTTGTAGAGACAAGGTCTTACTATGCTGCCCAGGCTGGTCTCCAACTCCTGGCCTCAAGCCATCCTCCCACCTTGCCTCCCAAACCTCTGGGATTACAGGCTGACTACACTAATTTTGATCACTCGAATGATGTGGTGTCTGTCAGATTTCTGCACTGTAAAGTTACTGATTTTCCATTTTTAATCAATAAATATCTTCTGATCAGATACTTTGGAGTTATGTAAATTTCTCATCAAATTTTCACCCACCAGGTAAAGTTTACCTTTTGGGTGTAAATAGATATATAGAAATAGGTTATTTACTTTTTTTTTCTTGAGACAGAGTCTCACTCTGTTGCCCAGGCTGGAGTGCAATGGCACAATCTCAGCTCAATACAACCTCTGCCTCCTGGGTTCAAGTGACTCTCGTGCCTCAGCCTCCTGAGTAGCTGGGAATACAGACGTGTGCCACCACACCCAGCTAATGTTTGTATTTTTAATAGAAACAGGGTTTCACCATGTTGGCCAGGCTCGTCTCCAACTCCTGACCTCAAGTAATCCACACGCCTTGGCCTCCCAAAGTGCTGGGATTACAGGCATGAGCCACTGCACCTGGCCTATTTACTTTTGAATTTAGATTTTTAAAATATTCTCAAACATGGTAAAAAAGGTTACCATTCATTACATTTCAGTTCTGGGAAGCTTAAGTTTATATAATTGCATCCATAATGTAATATACAAACACATAAATAATCTGACAAGCCCATTATCCTCTACAAAGAATACCCTTATATAGATGTCAGGCAGAAGGCAAACATCAAAAGTGATACTGAAGAAGCCGGGCACAGTGGCTCACACCTGTAATCCCAGCACTTTGGGAGGCCGAGGTGGGCAGATCACCTGAGAGGTAAGGAGTTTGAGGCCAGCCTGGCCAACATGGTGAAACCGTCTCTCTTAAAAATACAAAAAATTAGCTGGGCGTAGTGGCGGGCACCTGTAATCCCAGCTACTTGAGAGTCTGAGGCAGGAGAACTGCTTGAACCTGGGAGGCAGAGGTTGCAGTGAGCCGAGATCACACCACTGCACTCCAGCCTGAGCAGCAGAGCAAGACTCCGTCTCAAAAAAAACCAAAAAAACAAAAATTAGCTGGACGCGGTGATGGGTGCCTATAATCCCAGCTACTTAGGAGGCTAAGGCAGAAGAATTGCTTGAACCTGGGAGGCAGAGGTTGCAGTGAGCCGAGATCGAGCCACTGCACTCCAGCCTGGGCGACAGAGTGAGACTCTGTCCTGAAAAAAAAAAAAAAAGGGATACTAAAGTGTTTCATGATTCTGTCGTTTCGACAATGATCCATCTATGGAATGTCAGACAAGTGTCAGGCTGTCTCACCATGGACTCGAGGGCAGACACGAGGAATGTCACCACCATCCTGCTCTCTGAGGAGGACTCTTCTTCAACGGGCAGGGTGGACACTGCTACCTGGGCCATGATCCCTGTGCAAGAGAAGCAATAAGAAAGTGGCAAAAATTCAGAGTCTGAAACCCACATTTAGAGCTGTGAGGGTGCTCACAAAAGATCTAGTTCAAACTTTCCTCTCGAGGTGAAGAAACTGAAATGTAAAGGCATTTAGTGACTTGCCCATGAGCTCCTGAATAGTAATGCTAACTTATTTTATTTTGAGACAGGGTCTTGCTCTGTCACACAGGCTAGAGTGCAGTGGCACAATCACAGCTTACTATAACCTCTGCCCCCTGGATTCAGTCGATCCTCCCACCTCAGCCTCCCCAGTAGCTGGGACTACAGGTGAGCACCACCACACCTGGCTAATTTTTGTAGTTTTTGTAAAGATGGGTTTTTGCCATATTACCTAGGCTGGTCTCAAACTCCTGAGCTCAAGCAATCTGGCTTCCTTGGCCTCCCAAAGTGCTGGGATTACAGGTGTGAGCCACCGTGCCCAACCCTGCTTTCTATTTTGTTTTTTGGACACTGAATTTCACTCCTGTTGCCCAGGCTGGTGCAACGGCGCAATCTCAGTTCACTGCAACCTCCAACGCCTGAGTTCAAGTGATTCTTTTCTGCCTCAGCCTCCTGAATAGCTGGGATTACAGATGCCTGCCACCACACCCAGCTAATTTTTGCATTTTTAGTAGAGACAGGGTTTGCCATGTTGGCCAGGCTGGTCTCGAACTCCTGACCTGAGGCGATTCGCCTGCCTTGGCCTCCCAAAGTGCTGGGATTACAGGTGTGAGCCACCGTGCCCAGTCAACTTTCTTTTTTAAAAACTATTTATTTATTTAGACAGAGGGTCTTGCTCTGTCGCTCAGGCTGGAGTGCAGTGGCGCAATCTCAGCTCACTGTAGGGTCCCAAGCAGCTGGGACTACAGGCACACACCATCACACCTGGAATTCTTTTTTTTTTTTTTTTTTTTTTGTAGAGACAAGGTTTTGCCATGTTGCCCACACTGGTCTTAAATTCCTGGTCTCAAGTGATCCGCGATCCGCCTGCCTCGGCTTCCCAAAGTGCTGGGATTACAGGCATGAGCCACCATGCCTAGCCTTTTTTTTCTTTTTTGGCGGGGGTCGGGGGGCGGTACAGAGTCTTACTCTGCCGCCCAGGCTGGAGTGCAGTGGCACAATCTCGGCTCACTGCAACCTCTGCCTCCCAGGTTCAAGCGATTCTCCTGCCTCAGCCTCCCAAGTAGCTGGGGTTACAGGCTCCCACCACCACGCCTGGTTAATTTTTGTATTTTTAGTAGAGACGGGGTTTCACCATGTTGGACCAGGCCAGTCTCGAATTGCTAACCTCAAGTGATCTACTTGCCTATGGCTCCCAAAGTGCTGCGATTACAGGCGTAAAGCCACCACACTCAGCCTTTTAAATTTATTTTTATGCTAACTTTACAGCATATATTTTCCACTAAACCTACACATGGCCTCCCCATAAAACAAACTCAGATATTATGTGACAGGAGCATGCTCTTTCTCAGATGAGGAGAGGAGGATTCGTATCTTACTGATCCAATGATGTTTAGTCAGATTTCAGCATGGTTGTGACAGCTACCATCCTGTTTCATTTGCACATAGAAAGGATATAATGGGTTTGTGTACTAAAGATAGGAAGAGAAAATTCCTTCTTTCCCTCTTCCCTTTGGACTTCTGTCTCCTAAAAGCTTACTCTAAATTTTGCCAAGCTTTTTTTTTTTTTTTTTTTTTTAGCTTTTTGTTTGTTTGTTTTGTTTTTAGAGACAGGATCTCACTCTGTCACCCAGTCTGGAGTGCAGTGGCACAATCATGGCTTGCTGCATCCTCCAACTCCCAGGCTCAAGTGATCCTCCTGCCTTACCCTCTGGAGTAGCTGGGACTGCAGGCTTGTATCACCAGACCCAGCTATATTTTTAAACATTTTTTTTTGTAAAGATGGCGTGTTGCTCTATCGCCGAGGCTGATCTCAAATTCCTGGGCTTAAGCCATCCTCCTGTGTTGGCCTCCTTAAGTGCTGGGATGACAGGCGTGAGCCACTGTGCCTGGCTGATACATTTTGCCAAGCTCTAAATGAAGTTAGCTTTAAGAAATTTCTTTGAAAAAAATTATCTGAAATCTTAAAAACAACTTTTTGAAATGGAACATGCAAAAAAAAAGTACCCGTCAGCTACCATCATATCCCTCCAGTATTTGACTGAATTCTATTTGTAAGCAAAACACAAATAGATCACATGAGGGTACATGTAGAAGACAGAAGATTTTTTTTTTTCTTTGAGTTTTGCTCTTGTCAAGCAGGCTGGAGTGAAGTGGCGCGATCTCAGCTCACTGCAACCTCTGCCTCCCAGGTTCAAGCGATTCTCCTGACTCAGCCTCCTGAATAGCTGGGATTACAGGCAGCCACTACCACACCCAGCTAATTGTTGTATTTTTAGTAGAGACGGGGTTTCATCATATTGGTCAGGCTGGTCTCGAACTCCTGACCTCAGGTGGTCTGCCCGCCTTGGCCTCCCAAAGTGCTGGGATCATAGGCGTGAGTCACTGGGCCCAGTCAAAACTAAAGATTTAAGGGAGCGAAGTGTGGAGGTTACATGGGGTTATTTGGAAATATTCACAAACGTCTCTTTCAGATCATGTGGTTTGATTTCTTACCCACTTGAATGTGGTGTGGCCACATAACTTTCGTGGACTGAGGATGTCAGGGAAGTAAATTTACTTTGCCACACTCTCTCTTCCTCCTCAGTGGCCACTGGGAACATTTCACATGGGACCGCCACAGCAGCCTGGGTTCCAAATTGCGGACAATGTGAAACAGACTCATAGCCAATGCACAACAGACTTTTAGTGCGACCAAGAAGTTAGTCTTTGCTCCTTTAATCCTCCAAAGTCTGGTGTCGTTTGCAACCACAGCACACCCTAGCCAGTCTGGACAGTTACGGAAGGTTGAAAAGAAATTCTAAAAATGCAACTATCTATCAAAATTCTTTGAAGACACTCGAGGATCCCTTAGAGTTAGAATCTTTCTGAGCACATTAGCTATGCTGAACCAGTAGGATGCAAATTGTTATTGTTAAAAATTTTTATAAATCTATGTATCTCTATTATTATTAAACAGAATGGTAGGGGGAGGGAAGGATAGGGAGAGATTTGGTTGTTTTTATGAGATGGAGTATCACTCTGGCACCCAGGCTGGAGTGCAGTGGTGTGATCTCAGCTCATTGCAACCTCTGCCTCCTGGGTTCAAGTGATTCTCCTGCCTCAACCTCCTGAGTAGCTGGGATTGCAGGCATGAGCCACCACACCTGGCTAATTTTTGTATTTTTGGTGGAGACGGGGTTACACCATGTTGGCCAGGCTGGTCTCAAACTCTTGACCTCAAGTTATCCGTCCACCTCGGCCTCTCAAAGTGCTGGGATTACAGGTTTGAGCCACCACTCCTGGCCTGTTTTTGTTTGTTTGTTTGTTTTCAAGACAGCGTCTTGCTCTGTCACCCAGGCTAGAGTGTGATCACGGTTCACTATAGCCTCGACCTTCTGGGCTCAGTTGATCCTCCCATTTCAGCCCCCAGGTGACTGGGACTGCAGGTGCATGCCACCACACTTGGCTAATTTTTGCATTTTTAGTAGAGATGGGGTTTCACTATGTTGCCCAGGCTGGTCTCCAACTCCTGGGCTCAAGTGATCTGCTCGCTTCCGCCTCCCACAGTGCTGGGATTACAGGTGTGAGCCGCCACGCCCAGCCAATATTGTTTTTCATAGCAAAGACTGTTCTGGCCACAGAGCTGGAGTCAGAAAAAGCAGCTCAATTGCCTCTCTGCTTTTTGGCTAAGTTGAAGAGTAGAAAAAGCAGCATCCAGCCAGGAGATGTGTAGGTCCTAGAAAGTCTTTTCTTGAGCATTCTAGATTCCACTCACCAAGCAAATGTACATCAAAGAATATGTAACGGCAAAGGTGTATTATGTTTCCATTCACTAGAACACTCCCTTAGATCAGCTCCATCCTTATTCTTTTGGAAGCTCAGAGAATTTCCATTCATAATCTTTGTTTTGTCTTTAGCATCCCCGGGAGAGAAAAGGGCGTAGAAGTATTCTTATTTTACAACTTAACAAGTTGTCCAAGCAAAGCTAGAACTTACAGCAGGACAATTTTTGCCTAGTGCTATTTCCACTTCTTCACACCTTCAGTTGCCATTGATCTATGACGTCATCACACTCAATGTGTATTAAGAAATGGGGCCGGGGCTGGGCGCGGTGGCTCAGGACTGTAATCCCAGCACTTTGGGAGGCTGAGGCAGGCGGATCACAAGGTCAGGAGATCAAGACCATCCTGGCTAACACAGTGAAACCCCGTCTCTACCAAATAAAAAAAATTAGCCGGGCGTGGTGGCGGGTGCCTGTAGTCCCAGCTACTTGGGAGGCTGAAGCAGGAGAATGGCATGAACCCGGGAGGCGGAGCTTGCAGTGAGCCGAGATGGCGCCACTGCACTCCAGCCTGGGTGACAGAGCGAGACTCCGTCTCAAAAAAAAAAAAAAGAAAAAGAAAAAAAGAAAGAAATGCAGCCAGCATGGTGGCTTACGCCTATAATCCCAACACTTTGGGAGGCTGAGGCGAGCGGATCGCTTGAGGTCGGAGTTCGAGACCAGCCTGGACAACATGGTGAGACTTCCTTCTCTACTAAAAATTAGTCAGGCATGGTGGTGGGCGCCTGTAATCCCAGCTCCGGAGGCTGAGGCAGCAGAATTGCTTGAACCCAGGAGGCGGAAGTTGCAGTGAGCCAAGATTATACCACTGCCCTCCAGGTGAGGCAACAGGGCAAGACTCCGTCCAAAAAAAAAAAAATCCCAGCACTTTGGGAGGCCGAGGCAGGCGGATCACGAGGTCAGGAGATCGAGACCATCCTGGCTAACACGATGAAACCCTGTCTCTACTAAAAATACAAAAAATTAGCTGGGCGTGGTGGCGGGCGCCTGTAGTCCCAGCTACTTGGGAGGCTGAGGCAGGAGAATGGCATGAACCTGGGGGGCGGAGCTTGCAGTGAGCCGAGATCATACCACTGCACTCCAGCCTGGGCGACAGCGCGAGATTCCGTCTCAAAAAAAAAAAGGGAGACCCTACAGCAACAGCCCACAGGGCACCCTTGGTGATGAAGGTCCTATGTCATTATCAGAAATTTCAGGGCAGGCCGCGAGCCCTGCAGGATGGAAAGCACCATGGGGACGATGACCCACTGGCCTTCTCCGGGCTTCCTGCTCTCTGGAAATGGGTGCATCCAGGTCACACCGGAAGTTCACTGTTCTTTGCTCGTCCCAAGATTCCTTCCTGGGACGGTCCTTAGTTGAGACTATTCGTGGAGCCTTCCCTGCACCCTTCACTTGGGGACGGTTCCCTCTTTTCTCCTCTTTCCAGAAAGAAACTGCCATCAGGAGGTGGCATGAACAATGAACACCTGAGGAGGCATCGGGCCAGGCAGGTGATGCCAGTTTAGGAAACACCTGATACACTGGTCCCCATGGGACCACATGCCAGGAGAGCCATGGGCTGTACTCAGGCATCTTGTTTATTGAAGAAGATACTAAATCAACTGCCTATTTATTTATTTATTTATTGAGACAAGGTCTTACTCTGTCACCCAGGCTGGAGTGCAGTGGCACAATCTCGGCCCACTGCAACCTCTGCCTCCCAGGTTCAAGCAATTCTCCTGCCTCAGCCTTCCGAGTAGCTGGGATTATAGGAACCTGCCATGGGGCCCAGCTAAGTTTTGTATGTTTTAGTAGAGACGGGGTTTCACCATGTTGGCCAGGTTGGTCTTGAACTCCTAACCTCAGGTGATCCACACGCCTCAGTATCCCAAAGTGCTGGGATTACAGGCATGAGCCACCGCGCCCAGCGTTATTTTATTTTATTTCGACATGGAGCCTTGCTCTGTTGCCCAGGCTGGAGTGCAGTGGTGTGATCTCAGCTCACTGCAACCTCCGCCTCCCGAGTTCAAGCCATTCTCCTGCCTCAGCTTCCCAAGTAGCTGGGATTACAGACACCTGCCACCATGCCCGGCTAATTTTTTGTGTTTTTAGTAGAGATGGGGTTTCATCATGTTGGCCAGGGTGGTCTTGAACTCCCGACCTCAAGTGATCTACCTGCCTTGGTCTCCCAAAGCCCTGGGATTACAGGCATGAGCCAATGCTCCTGATTGGCTTTTTTATTTTTAAGAGTCAGGGTCTCACACTGTCACCCAGGCTGGAGTGCAGTGGCTCAATCATGGGTTGCTGCAGCCTCCAACTCCTAGACTCAAGCCATCCTTGCCCCTCAGCCTCCTGAGTCACTGGGATTACAACTGTGAGCCACTGCACCTGGCTCAAACAACTACTTCCTATGATTGTTTCTTTCACTTCTGACCTTTTATGAATCCCCTCAACTTAAAAATCCAAAGGAATCACATATTATGTAATTCCATTCATATTAAATTTCTAGAATAGGGAAATCTATAGGAACTGAGACTAGATTAGTGGTTATTTAGGGTTGATAGCTAAAGGGTAGAAGGTTTCAGAGTGATGAAAATGTTCAAAATTGACTGTGATGGCAGGGTGCAGTGGCTCACGCTTGTAATCCCAGAACTTTGGGAGGCCGAGGCGGGCAGATCACAAGGACAAGAGATCGAGACCATCCTGGCCAACATGGTGAAACCTTGTCTCTACTGAAAATACAAAAATTAGCCGAGCATCATGGTGCACGCCTGTAGTCCCACCTACTCAGGAGGTGGAGTTTGCAGTTAGCTGAGATCCCGCCACTGCACTCCAGCCTGGTGACAGAGCCAGACTCCATCTCACAAAAAAAAAAAAAAGAAAAAAAAAATTGACTGATGATTGTTGTACAACTCTGTGAATATATTTTAAGAAACCACTGAACGGTACACTTTTTTTTTAATTGTCTTTTTTTTTTTTTGAGACGGGGTCTTGCTCTGTCTCCCAGGCTGGAGTGCAGTGGCACAATCATGGTTCACTGCAACCTCTGCCTTCTGGGTGCCTCAGCCTCCTGAGTAGCTGGGATTACAGGCGTGCACTACCATGCCCGGATAATTTTGTGTATTTTTAGTAGAGATGGAGTTTTGCCATGTTGGCCAGGCTGGTCTTGAACTCCTGAGCTCAGGTGATCCACCCTCCTCGGCCTCCCAAAGTGCTGGGATTACAGGTGTGAGGCACCGTGCCCACCACTATTTTTTAAATTTTTATTTATTTTTCTGACAGGGTCTCATTGTCACCCAGGCTGAAGTGCAGTGCCATGACCATAGTTGGAGCACAGTGGTGCAATCACTGTAGCCTTCACCTCCTGGGCTCAAGCAATGCTCTTGTCTCAGCCTCCAGAGTAGCTAAGACGACAAGCCTGTGCCACCACACTCAGCTAATTTTTTATTTTTGTAAAGCAGTCTCATTATGTTGCCCATGCTGGTCTCAAACTCCTGGTCTCAAACGATCCTTCCACCTCAGCCTCCCAGAGTGTTGGGATCACAGGCATGACTTACCATGTACAGCCTGAACTGTATACTTCAAATGGGTGAATTGTATAAGTATGTGAATTTTATCTCAATAAAACAGTTTTAATTGTATTTATTTATTTGTTTTTGAGATGGAATCTCACTCTGTGCCCAGGCTGGAATGCAGTGGTGCAATCTCAGCTCACTGCAACCTCCGCCTCCCAGGTTCCAGCAATTCTCCTGCCTTGGCCTCCCAAGTAGCTGAGACTACAGGCTTGGGTCACCATGCCTGGCTAATTTTTGTATTTTTAGTAGACACAGGGTTTCATCACATTGGCCAGGCCAGTCTCAAACTCCTGACCTCAAGTGATCTTCCCTCCTTGGCCTCCCAAAGTGCTGGGATGACAGGCGTGAGCCACTGCGCCCGGCCAAAGAGATTTTAAAAAATCAAATAAAAGAGAGGTTGGATGGAAAAAAAGAAAATGAACATGTACCGAACTACATTCTACACGCCGATGCTTTTATAATCACCCAATTTAAAACTCACATACCCTCCAAGGGAAATATTATTTTCCGTGAAAGGACAGAGAGAGCATGGGATCCTGCTGGGGGGTGTACAGATGGTTTAAGGAATGGCAGAGGCTGCAACCGCAGTGGAGGAGCAGAAGGGCAAACAGAAGAAAGGCCCCAGGAGGGGAAAATAAGGCGGGTGACCACATGTCCTAGGTGGGGCAGTCCCAGCCCATGCCCGCCCTGCCAGTGAAATTGTAACAGTGGTCTCTTCATTCTCAAGTGCCTGGAAGATGAATTATAAGATATTTATTTATGGGTTGTTGTGTGAAATGCACGCAGACACACACACACACACACACACACACACAATTACTAGAATCATGGCACCCCGCGTCCTTAAAACAACCTCCAAGCTCAGAGAGGTTTCTCCCTGATGCCGACCAAAAGGCAATCAAAACACCGATCTCTTAACTCAATGCTTAAGTCTGCGTACTTTATTTAGCATGAAGAAAAATGGTCAAAACAATCATGCAATCCATTTCCTGTGAGATTTTTAAAAAGATAAAAATTCTTTTTTTTTTTTTTTTTTGAGATGGAGTTTTGCTTTTGCTGCCCAGGCTGGAGTGCAGTGGCTTGATCTCAGCTCATCGCAACCTCCGCCTCCCGGGTTCAAGCGATTCTCTTGCTTCAGCCTCCTGAGTAACTGGGACTACAGGCACGTGTCACCGTGCCCAGCTAATTTTTTGTAATTTTAGTAGAGACGAGGTTTCACCGTGTTAGCCAGGATGGTCTCGATCTCCTGACCTCGTGATCTGCCCGCCTCGGCCTCCCAAAGTGCTGGGATTACAAGCGTGAGCCACTGCACCCAGCCTAGTTTTTGTATTTTTAGTAGAGATAGGGTTTCACCATGTTGGCCAGGCTGGTCTTGAACTCCTGACCTCAAATTATCCACCCGCCTTGATCTCCCAAAGTGCTGGGATTACAGGCGTGAGCCACCTCGCCCAGCCTAACATAAAGGAAACAGTTTTTAAATAAAAATTCTTTTATCTGATGTAAACCAGACTAGATAAGGATATGTTTCATTTCTTTAATTATAAAGGTGAAATACTCGTTTATGTCACTTAATGTTTTTTTTCTGTACCCTGTAGAGCAGGGCTGACACACAGGTAGTGTGCTCAGAGTCAGCTAAAAATGATTTAATATTTAACTATAATTTTTTTATAGCAAAGTTCACCCTTTTCAGTGTACAGTTCTATGATTTTTTTTTTTTTTCTTTTTTGAGACAGGGTCTCACTCTGTCACCCAGGCTGGAGTGCAGTGGAGCACTCTCAGCTCACTGCAACCTCCCCATCCCAGGCTCAAGCAATCCTCGTGCCTCAGCCTCCTGAGTAGCTGGGACTACAGGTGTATGCCGTCATACCCAGGTCATTTTTTACATTTTTTTTTAATAGAGAGGAGGTTTCACCATGTTGCCTAGGCTGGTCTCGAACTCCTGACCTTAGGTGATCTGCTGCCTTGGCCTCCAAAAGTGTTGGGATTACAAGTGTCAGTCACCCGCCTGGCCCTTATGAATTTTGACATATATAAAGTCATATAGCTACTATTAAAATCAAGGTATAAAACAGTTCTGTCACTCCCAGAATTTTTTTTTTTTTTTTTTTTTTGAGACGGAGTCTCACTCTGTTGCCCAGGCTGGAGTGCAGTGGCGCAATCTCGGCTCACTGCAAGCTCTGCCTCCCAGGTTCACGCCATTCTCCTGCCTCAGCCTCCCGAGTAGCTGGGACTACAGGCGCCCACCACCACGCCTGGCTAAGTTTTTTTTATTTTTAGTAGACGGGGTTTCACCGTGGTCTCGATCTCCTGACCTCATGATCCGCCTGCCTCAGCCTCCCGAAGTGCTGGGATTGCAGGCGTGAGCCATTGCACCCGGCCCACCCCTAGAATATTATACCACAGTAATCCCTAAACAGGCTCTGATGTCAAAAGTCTGCTATTTAACAAAAAAGAAAATAAAAATAAAAACACAAACAAAAATAGAAATTAAAAAATTGAAAAAAAGAATAAAATAATAGGCAGGATGATACCAGGTGGAATTCAAAAAAAGATACTATCAGTTGGCGTCAACTATGCTACCAGTAATCATTGAAAAAACAAGTGTTTCATAATAATTATTATCATTTTTTGAGGCAGGGTCTTACTCTGTCACCCAGGCTGGAATGCAGTGGTGCAATCACAGCTCACTGCAGCCTCTGCCTCCTTGGGCTTAGGAGATCCTCCCACCTCAGCCTCCTGAGTAGCTGGAATCCCAGGCATGCACCACCATGTTCAGCTAATTTTTGTATTTTTTGTAGAGAGGGGGTTTCGCCATGTTGCCCAGGCTGGTCTCGAACTCCTGGGCTTAAGTGATCTCCTGCCTCATCCTCCCAAAGTGCTGGGATTACAGGTGTGAGCCACTGTGCTGGGCTGAGTGTTTCATAATTATTGTACTTTCTTTGCATTTTGTACATAACAACAAATGGAGGCAGGAATGTTGTCTTTTATATTTTATGATTTGGAACACAGCATGCATTAATAGAAAACTGAAAATAATGAAATATGACTATAAGCCAACACAGTGTTTCCCGTCCCAAGTACATTTTCCTGAGAAAATTTCACTGCACTCTAATAAAGCTCAAAATCCTTGACCGTAAGAACTTGTACCACAGAATAAAATCTCCCAAAGCTGATATAGTTATTAACCATTTTCCTACTCACATCTGAAGTGCCAGTACCATTTATTGAGATGACAGATTTTTACACAGTACTTAACTTTTTGCTCTTTTATTTTGAGATGGAGTCTTGCTCTGTGGCTCAGGCTGGAGTGCAGTGGTGCAATCTCAGCTCACTGCAACCTCTGCCTCCCGAGTAGCTGAAATTACAGGTGCATGCCACCAGACCCAGCTAATTTTTGTATTTTTAGTAGAGACAGGGTTTCACCATGTTAGCCAGGCTGGTCTCCAACTCCTGACCTAAGGTGATCTGCCTGGCTCAGCCTCCCAAAGTGCTGGGATTACAGGCGTGAGCCACCGTGCCCAGCCCTTTTTGCTCCTTTAAAACTGTAGATGTAAACTCCAAAAACTTCCAAATCTCATTTTGTTTTCCCAGCAATCCTGGAGGACCTTCTGTCCTTCTAATGTAATATTTTACTAATGAAAAGCAAATACCTAGAAAAATCTCCAGCCTACAGGTCAAATCCAGACTGCAGCCTATTTTTGTAAATTAAGCTTTGTCAGAACACAGTCACATTCACTTGTTTACATCTTGTCTACAGCTGCTTTCCTGCAAAGGAAGGTTTGCATGCATGTGACAAAGACCCCATGTCCCCAAAGCCAAAAATATTTACTATCCTTACAAACAAGGTTTGCCCATCACTGATCTAGAATCTGTATCTATCCCTTACAACCTTTCATCGTTTGGAATGTCATCCACTCCCTTTATGAAAACTCTGAAATCTTGAAATAGTGGCCTGATTTATTTTTAAAAACTGTTCCTAGATTTTCCTTTCCAAAGGTTAATTTTTCAGGTTTTAAAGGGCTTAGATTTCTGGTTTTGTTCTGGTTTTCAGACAGTCTCGCTCTGTCCTCCAGATCGAAGTGCAGTGGTAAGATCACAGCTTACCATGAACGGCTAATTTTTTGATTTTTGATTTTTATTTTTTTGTAGAGACAAGGTTTCACTATGTTGCCCAGGCTGGTCTTAAACTCCTAGGCTCAAACCATTCTCCTGCCTCAGCCTCCCAAAATACTGGAATTACAGGAATGAGACACTGCGCCCAGACTCAGGGCTTGTTTTCTGTTTTGTTTTGCTTTTTTCTTTTGAGACAGGGTCTTGCTCTATCACCCAGACTGGAGTGTAGTGGCATGATCATAGCTCCCTACAGCCTGGGATTCCCAAGCTCTAGTGATCTTCCCACCTCAACCTACCAAGTAGCTGGGACCACAGGCGCACACCACTGTACCCACCTAACTTTTGTATTATTATTACTTTTTTTGGTAAAGATGGAGTTTTGCCATGTTGCCCAGGCTGGTCTTGAACTCCTGGACTCAAGCAATCCTCCTGCCTCAGCCTCCTAAAATGCTGGGATTACAGGCATGAGCCATCACACCCAGCCACAGGGCTTAGTTTTAATTAATAAATTCTACCTGCTTCACAGCTCAGCCTACAAGTACAAACTCAAGAGTACACGATTCACCATACAACAAAAATGTATTAAGCATCTGCAATGTAAAAACGTATACTAGTGGCCAGGCGAGGTGGCTCACATCTTTAATCTGGGAGCCAGAGGCAGGCAGATCACCTGAGGTCAGGAGCTCCATACCAGCCTGGCCAACATGGTGAAACACTGTCTCTACTAAAAATACAAAAAAAAAAAAAAAAAAAAAAAGGACAGGTGTGGTGGTGGGCGCCTGTAATCCTAGCTACTTGGGAGTCTGAAGCAGGGAGAATTGCTTGAACCCAGGAGGCGGAGGTTGCAGTGAGCCAAGATCATGCCATTGCACTCCAGCCTGGGCAACAAGAACAAAACTCTATCTCAAAAAAAAAAATTAGCTGGGCATGGTGGCACGCTCCTGTAATCCCAGCTACTCAGGAGGCTGAGGCAGGAAAATCTCTTGAACTCAGGAGGCAGAGGTTGCAGTGGGACGTGATCGTGCCACTGTTACTTCAGCCTGGGCGACAGAGCAAGACTCCGTCCCCACCCCCCAAAAAAATGTATACTGATGGCAAGGAGTGTAGGGGAATCACAAGCAATACAGTAAAAGAAGCCAGACACCCGTGAAATGGCCCCAGGGCATGTAGGAATGCAGATGAATCAACTGGGAGGACAAGAGAAATGAAGGGCCAGGAGTCTCCCCCTTATCTTTGGGGGACTCGTTCCAAGACCCTCAGTGGATGCTTGGAACTGCGAATAGTGCCAAACCCTAAATCTATTATGTTCTTTTTTTTTTTGAGATGGAGTCTCACTCTGTCACCCAGGCTGGAGTGCAGTGTCGTGATCTGGGCTCACTGCAACCTCTGCCTCCCAGGTTCAAGTGATTTTCCTGCCTCAGCCTCCCGAGTAGCTGGGATTACAGGTGTGCACCACCACGTCCGGCTAATTTTTGTATTTTTAGTAGAGACAAGGTTTCACCATGTTGGTGAGTCCAGGCAATAGAGTGGGACCAGCCCGGCAACATAATGGGACTGCCTCTACAAAAAAATTAAAAATTAGTCAGGTGTGGGGGTGCAGGCCTGTGGTCCCAGCTATTCAGGAGGCTGAGATGGGAGAATTGCTTGAGCCCAGGAGGTCGAGGCTGCAGTGAGCTGTTATCCCACCATTTCAACAGGGCGAGACCCTGGGCAACAGGGCAAGACTCTGTCTCAAGAGAAAAAAAAGAAGGCCCGCCAGGCGCAGTGACTCATGCCTGTAATCCCAGCACTTTGGGAGGCTGAGGTGGGTGAATCACCTGAGGTCAAGATTTTGAGATCAGTCTAGCCAACATGGTGAAACCCCATCTCTACTAAAAGCATAAAAATGAGCTGGGCGTGGTGGTGCACGTCTGTCATCCCAGCTACTCTGGAGGCTGAGGCAGGAGAATAGCTTGAATCCAGGAGGTGAAGCTTGCAGTTAGCCGATATCGCAATACTTCACTCCAGCCTGGGTGACAGGGCAAGACTCTGTCTCAAAAAAAAAAAAAAAAAAAAAAAGGCAAAGGTGACAGGTATAGAATTTTCAACTTGCATCAGGTCAGCATTCAATAAGTTCTGGATTTTGGAACAGATCAAATTTTGGATTTTTGGATTAGAGATGTTCAACCTGTACATACACACCTATGATGAATTTTAATTTATAAATTAGGCACAGTAAGAAATTAACAATAATAAAATAGAATAAGTATATTAAGTACTGTAATGTTATGTGAATGTGATCTCTCTCTCGATCTCTCTCTCTCAATATAACTTGTTGTAACGTACTTACCCTTCTTCTTCTTCTTGTAGTGATGTGAGAATCTATGCCTGAATCTGTGTAACCATCCCTTACTCGCAGTAAATGGCTTGGTGTCAGTTTCAGAGCATCCCTTGCTGAAGTCTTGGTATAGGCTCAAGGCTTTCTGGCGCAACACGTTGCTGTCAATGGGAACACGTTTTCTGTTCATCTCTTCCACCCACAAATGCAGTGCCTGTTCCATCTTAACTAAGCACTTATCACGCACCGTGGCCGTCACTTTAGCAGTTGGAGGTGAGACAGCAAAACTAGCACGAATCTCTTTTTCCTTCTTCACAATTTCACGGATGGAAGATTCATTCTTCCCGTAGATCTTAGCAACCTCAGCATAGGATTTTTTTTCTTTCCTGATTAAGTCGAGAACTTTCACCTTTTCACTTAGAGGAAGCACTTTACGGCTTCTCTTTGGCCTATCCAAATTCCCAGCATCACTACTCTTGTGCTTTGGGGCCATTATGACGGAAAATAAGGGTGACTTGAACACATACACTGGGACACTGTGACGGTCGATCTGATAACTGAGCCAGCTACTAAGTGACTATGGGTGCGGAGCGCCCACAGCGTGGGGACGCTGAACAAAGGGGACGATTCACTGCCAGGCTGCACAGCGCGAGATTTCATCACAGCGTGCAATTTAAAACTTATAAATTGTTTATTTCTGGAATTTTCCATGTAATATTTTCAGACCACGGTTGACCTCCGGTAACTGAAACAGCGGGTAAGGGGGGAAAACTGTACTTCCAGGTTCCGCAGCCTGAGAATGAGAGAAGGGACTGTGCAGGCTGAAGGCGTGGGGGAAGAGCCAGGGCCCTGGGGAGCAGACGTCAGGGACCAAACAGGCAGACAGGCAGGAAGAACCGTGACCCACTCCAAATCGCCACTGAAGATTGATCCCAACTGCAGGCTGGTGCCAAGCCCCGCGTCCACGGAAGTCACACAGCCTATAATGCCTTCCTCTCCAAATGGAAGCAAAGAGGAGAAAAGGCTGCTGGAGTCTTCAATTGCAGCCGTGAGCAATCTCCAACTGGACAGTTTCCAAGCTTATATCTAGACATCTGCTTACTTCAAATTACCAGCACGAAACTAAAACACGATTTTTTATTTTCCTTAAAACACAAAGCTTGGCCCAGCAATTCCAGTCCTTGGTATACACCTATGAGAATTGAAAACAAATGTCCGCACAAAAACGTGTACACCAATGTTCATACCAGTATTATTCATAACAGCCAAAAGGTGGAAATGACCCAAATAGCCATCAATGGATGGAAAATCAAAATGCTGTGTATTCATATCATGGATTTTTATTCAGCCATAAAGAAGGAAAGAAGCCAGACACACGAAAAACTTGGGATGATTCTATCCACACGAAATGTCCAGAATAGGCAAATCCATGGAGACAAAAGTGATTGCCAGGGGCTGGGGGTAGGAACAGGGTGGGGACCGGGGAATGACGGCCTAATGGGATTGGAATTTCTTCTCCTCGGGTGCTGAAAACGTTCTGCAATTAGTGGCAAAGGCTGCACAACTCTGTGCACTGAATTATTCACTCTTAAAAGGTGAATTTTACAATGGATCTCAACGACGCTGTTATTAAGAAACAAGAAAGCGTGGGCTTGAGGGGTGGAGAATACAGCCCTGCGAAACTTTTTCCCCCTGGAACTGGAAACCAGAATTGCAACGGGAAATTCCCGGGCCTCGGCCTTTTTCCTTGGGAGTCTGGATTGGTTTTTCGCCAACAAACAGATCCCCGGAGACCGTCGCGAGGACCGTATCGACGGACAAAACCCACAACCTGGGCCTCTGGGCGCGCGTGACGTCAGGGGGCGGATCCGAGGCGCAGTTGCGGGGTAACAGCGGCGGCCCCGCCCCCTCACCTAACCAATCAAGCGCGCCCGCACGCAGCGCGAGCGCCCCACGTACGCCGGGCGGAGCGTGACGTCACGCACACCCCCCCGCTCGGCCAATCAGGAAGGAGAGGGATGCGCGCTCCGTGCGTAGGACCATTGCCCCCGCGGCAAGGCTTCCCCGCCCCCACCCTCACACCTCTGGTCCTGCCCGTGGGGACCGGGGTTCGGGGGGGGCCTCGCCTCGGGGCGCCGGGGTGTGCCGGGGTGCTACCTCCCGCTGCGGCCGGGTGACCTCCCTTCCCCAGGCCCTCGGGAGTAGGACGTTAGTGCCTCCGAAAGGCAACCCGCCCTTAATGGCGGCGGCGGCGGCGGGGGCGGGGTACGCACCTGAGGGCGCCGGGCCGCGCCGGGCCGGCCGCGGAGTCAGAGGCCTGGGCCACCTGGGAGCGGCCGATGGCCGAGGGCTGCGGCCGGGAGCCCTGCGCGGGGGACGAGCACGCTGCGGGGCGTGTGGGCGGCGGCCGAGGCCCCTGCTTGCCACTCGCCCTCCTTTTTCTCTTTCTTTCTTTCTTTCCCCCCCTTTTCCCCCCTTTTTTTGTTTGCTTCCTGGAAGGCAGCCTCGACTCGTGTGTCCGCAGCGCCCCAAGTGGGAGTCGCCGTTTCCGGTGCTGTCGAATCCAATTTAGCCGCGCTGTGCATTTGCTTGGAGGCGTGCAGCCTGGTCCCCCGAGGTCCAGACCCGCTCAGCCATCGCTGATTGTGGCATGGATTGCTGGCGGGGCCTTTCTCACCCCGGACACCGCCCTCAAACGTGCATGCAGTTGCTTGCTGTTATTTAATTTTCTCTCTTTTTTTTTTTTTGAGACGGAGTTTCACTCTTGTTGCCCTGGTTGGAGTGCAATGACGCGATCTTGGCTCACTGCAACCTCGGCCTCCCGGGTTCAAGCGATTCTCCTGCCTCAGCCTCCCAGGTAGCTGGGATTACAGGCATGTGCCACCAAGCCCGGCTGATTTTCTATTTTTAGTAAAGACAGGGTTTCTCCATGTTGGTCAGGCTGGTCTCAAACTTCGACTTCAGGTGTTCCGCTCACCTCAGCCTCCCAGAGAGCTAGGATTACAGGCAGGAGCCACCTCGCCTGGCCTTTTCTTCTTCTTCTTCTTTTTTTTTTTTTTTTTTTTAACGTGATTGCAGTTTGTACCTGCAGAGCAGATCACCACCAGTAACCGGTGAATCTAGGCCTTAAAGTCCTCGAGTTTTTTCTGATAAACTGCAACATCCTGTCCTGACCTTTTCTGATAGGGTGGGTGGCATCACCAGCCAATCATGGGCATAGTCGGACATTATAGTAGTCTGACTGAATTATATATATATTTTTTTCTTAGATGGAGTTTCATTCTTGTTGCCCAGGCTGGAGTGCAGTGTCACCATCTTGGCTCATTACAACCTCCACCTCGTGGGTTCAAGGGATTCGCCTGCCTCAGCCTCCCAAGTAGCTGGTATTACAGGTCTGCACCACCACGCTCTGCTAATTTTGTATTTTTAGTAGAAACGGGGTTTTACCCTCTTGGCCAGGCTGGTCTCCAACTCCTGACCTCAGGTGATGCGCCCACCTCTGCCTCCCAAAGTGCTGGGATTACAGGTGTGAGCCACCGCACCTGGTCACATATTTATTTTTAAATATCTCAAAAAGAGAATAAGAGAAATTGTTTACCCGTGGCTCAGAATTAACGTTTTTTTGCTGTTTTTTCTTTTTGCTTTCTTTTGGGACAAGGTCTCTGTTGCCCGGGCTGGAATGCAGTGGTGTCATCCTAGCTCAGTGCAGCTTCAGACTCCTGGGCTCAAGCAGTCCTCCTGCCTTGGCCTTCCAAAATGCTGGGATTACAGTGGCTAATTTTTAAATGTTTTGTAGGGACAGAGTCTGTGTTCCCTAGGCTGGTCTTAAACTCTAGGCTCAAGTGATCCTCCCACCTCGAATTCCTGAGTAGCTGGGACTCCCGGCATTCACCCCCAGGCCTGACTAATTTTTTTTAAAAATTGTAGAGACTGGGGTCTTGCTTTGTTGCCCAAGCTGGCTTCAAGCTCTTGGGCTCAAGGGATCCTCCTGCTTTGCCTCCGAAAGTGTTGGTGTTGCAGGCATGCATGAGCCACTGCACCCAGCCTGCTTCATATTTTCATTTTTTTTTTTCCTTTTGAGACAGAGTCTTGATCAGTTGTCCAAGCTGGAGTGCAGTGATGAGATCATAGCTCACTGCAGCCTCAACCTCCCCAGCTCAAGAAATCCTCCCACCTCAGTCTCCCTGAGTAGCTGGGACTGCAGGCAGGTGCCACCATGCCCAGCTAGTTAAAATTGTTTTTCTAGAGAGGGATCTCACTGTGCTGCCCAGGCTGGTCTCAAACTCTTGGGCTCAAGCGATCCTCCTGTCTCTGCTCCCAAAGCGCTGGGATTACAGGCATGCAGCCCCGTGCCCGGCCCACTTAGTCCTTGTTGAAACATTGCTGGGTGTTCTGCCTACTTTTGTGGCTGCTGCTGGTCCTTCTCTTTTTCCCAGCCTTTACATGGTGCAGGTGTAAGAGTTCAGTGTTGGATCTCTCTGCTGTCTGCTCTCACTCCTTAGATGAATCTCCTCCAGTCTTAGAGCCTTAAATACATTTTAAGGTTACATTTTCATATCGTTATGACTCCCAAATATTTATCTCCAGCCCAGACCATTCCCCTAAACTCCACATCTACTCCACTGCCTGCTTTGAAATCTTCACTTGTACAGTGACTTAAGAAAAACTTTTTTTCTCTTGGAGAATAGGCAGCCCAAGAAGAACATGTCTCATGCTCCCCACACTTCCTCCTGCAGTCTTCTCCAGCTCAATGAATGAAACTCCATTCCTCCACTTACTCAAGCCAGAAGGCTTGGAAGCATCTTATTCCTCCCATACCCCACACCATTCCTTCAGACACCTCTGGCAGCTCTAACTTTGCCCAGATTCTACAACTTTCTCTGTCTCTCTCTTTTTTTTTTTCTACTATGTGTGTTGAGGGGAGAGGGACTTGCTGCATCACCCAGGTTGGAGAGCAGTGGTACAATCATAGCTCACCGCAGCCTCAGCCTCCTGCACTCAAGCAGTCCTCCCACGTCAGCCTCCCGAGTAGGTGGGACCCCAGGCGCACATCACCTCACCCGGCAAATTTTTAAAATTATTTGGCCAGGCGCAGTGGCTCACGCTTGTAATCCCAGCACTTTGAGAGGCCGAGGTGGGCGGATCACAAGGTCAGGAGTTCAAGACCAGCCTGGCCAACATGGTAAAACCTTGTCTCTACTAAAAATACAAAAATTAGCTGGGCGTGGTGGCGGGCGCCTGTAATCCCAGCTACTCGGGAGGCTGAGGCAGGAGAATTTCTGGAACCTGGGAGGCAAAGGTTGCAGTGAGCCAAGGTTACACCACTGCACTCCAGCCCGGGCAATAGAGCAATACTCCATCTCAAAAAAAAAAAAAAAAAAAAAATTATTTGTAGAGGCTGGGTGTGGTGGCTGACACCTATAATCCTAGCACTTTGAGAGCCCAAGGCGGTTGGATTGCCTGAGCTTGGGAGTTTGAGACCAGCCTGGGCAACATGGTGAAACCCCGTCTCTACTAAAATACAAAAGAAATCAGTGGCGGCATGCGCCTGTAGTCCTAGCTACTCAGGAGGCTGAGGCAGGAGAATTGCTTGAACCCAGGAGGTGGAGGTTACAGTGAGCCGATATCACACCACTGCACTCCAGCCTGGGTGACAGAGCAAGACTCTGTCTCTACGAAAAAAAAAATATATATATATATTTGTAGAGACAGGGTCTCCCTGTGTTGCCCAGGCTGATCTCAAATTGCTGCTCTCAGGGGATCCTCCTGTCTCCTTCCTCAGCCTCCCAAACTGTTGGGATACAGGCATGAGCCACTGAGCCTGGCCTCTACCACTTTCTGATGGCCCCCACTACCACCTCACGAGTCCAAGCCAACACTGTCTCTTGCTATAGACTCCTAATTTCTCTCCTTAATTCTGCCCTTAACCCTCTTTCATTCTCAACACAGTAACAAGAAGAATCTTGTAAAATGTAACTCATTTCACTCTTCTCAAAAATGTCCATTTCAGAGTAAAGGTCCTAATTTACGCCTTCTGTCCAAGACGAAGTAACAAAGACCAGATTTACCCTCCCAGCTGCAACAATAAACAAAAAAATGCATGAAACAATGTGTTTTTCAAGACATTAGACATCAGGTGACAAAAGATAGTGTTGGAGAGATGGTAAATGTGAGGTGAGCCCTGCAATTGCTTAGCTGGAGAACTAAGAGGCCAGCTGACTTCCTTGGTTGTAACAGAGCTGAGTCCAGAAAGAACAAGGTAACTGCAGCTTGTAAGGAAGGGTGCCACAGAGTTCTGCACAGAGAGAGAACCCTAGAGATCTGCAGATAAACCCCTGGATATGTAGCAGAGTACATCAGCACACACGTGTGACATAATTACTTGCTTCTTGGGAAAGAACCATCTGAATGCATTGGAATAGTGCTTGACACTCCGGGCCAAGAATGGTGCTTGTTCAGAATTCACAGGTCATTGGGTAGAGGACTAAGCAAGGTCTTGCCTCATTAGAGGGGAAAATTAGCCTTAGATTGCACACTGCCTAATACCCACCTAACAGGGCATAACAGCAAAACTTGAATGCATCAAATGGTTCCCAAGTAATTTTTTTTTTTTTCTTTTGAGACGGAATCTCTGTCTCCCAGGCGGGAGTGCAGTGGCGTGATCTCAGCTCACTGCAGCCATTGTCTCCCAGGTTCAAACGATTCTTCTGCCTCAGCCTCCCTAGTAGCTGGGATTACAGGTGTGCACCACCATACCCAGCTATTTTTTTTTTTTTTTTTTTGAGACAGAGTCTTGCACTGTTGCCCAGGCTGGAGTGCAGTGGCTCAATCTCAGCTCACTGCAACCTCCGC